AAATGATAAGTCAGTAAAAGAGGTGGGCATGTCTCGTGGCTGTGGTCAGAGTAGCCAGGTGCCTTATGGTCTATGAAAATATCAATTACCGTACTTCATGGGCGTTTTGAGTTCACCAGTGTATTTGCCGCACCAGCAAGATTAAAAAAAAAAAATATGCTTTTACATCAACCTGCCAGGGGGTCTGCAGATGGAAATTAGCCTAAGGCTATAATCTGGCATATTTACATTGGTCAAATGTTCATTAATATACATTGTTATCCTTTTAAAACCCAAACAAACAAATAAATACTGTTTTAAGGTACACGTAACCAAAAAGTCACAGAAAGATCTGTGGACGCTGACATTTGATATTTGCCTTTACCTTAAGCCTTACCTTCTCCCCAATTACATTTAAAGGGCCTGCCCCAAACTTTAATCTTTTTCAAAGTTTGTTTTAAGAGTCACAAATAGCACTAAAAGGCAAAATTTCCCTCTGATGGAGATTCTAGCAATACCTGGAGCATGCTTTTACCACAGCTGTTAGCTTCCACCTCTGCAATGAATGGAGTGCCGGCATTTTACCGATCTGTACCGACCCTAAACATCAATACATCACTTTTTAAAACCTGGAGTGAAAATAAGTTCATAAACTGTTTTCTTCAATATGTGTGAGTGAAATCCAGTTAGAGGGAGCTCAGTGTTTTTTTACGACAGTAGTGGCCGGGCCGTGGCTCTCCCGGTTCCCATGGTAATCAAAAATAAAGATACGGAAACAAAAAAAATCAATATATAAACTTTCCTCACCTCTGTCTCGTTTTTAAGCATCCTTTGATGCTTTGAACACTTTGCAATTTAAACCGCAAGTTTTTGAAGCACTTGATAAGAGTAGCATCTAATTACCGGAGTATTATGGTATAAGAAATGAGTCATGACCAAGCCGAGCACCAACATATGAAGATGGATCAGTAAGTTTCCCGAGTTGGATTTAAGTATGGGTCAAATGCAGAGAGCAGAGTGAAGTTTACCTCAATCCACTTCCAGTTTACTTTATCAATATTTATACAGCACATTTTATAAAACAAGTTTCCAAAGTGCTGCACAGAGATAAAAGTGACATATTTAAATAGGTTTTCCAGCTTAAAAAATAGAATAGATAAAACAATTATGATGTGTACAATAAAAACAATAAAAACATAACATAACCATGAATCTGAATTATGTATATACTGTATCTGCAGTTCATCCAGAGTGATCATGGGACTCTTGTCTGCATCTCTGATCAGTCTTCTCCTTGTTTGAGATGAAAGTTTGGAGGGACGGCCGGGTCTTGGTAGATTTGCAGTGGTCTGATACTCCTTCCATTTCAATATAATTGCTTGCACAGTGCTCTTTGAGATGTTTAAAGCTTGGGAAATCTTTTTGTATCCAAATCCGGCTTTAAACTTTTCCACAACAGTATCTTGGACCTGCCTCGTGTGTTCCTTTGTCTTCATGGTTCTCTCTGCGCTTTAAACAGAACCCTGAGACTATCAAAGAGCAGGTGCATTTATACGGAGACTTGATTACACACAGGTGCATTCTATGTATCATCATCAGTCATTTAGGACAACATTGGATCATTCAAAGATCCTCACTGAACTTCTGAAGTGAGTTTGCTGCACTGAAAGTAAAGGGGCCGAACAATTTTGCACACCCCACTTTTCAGTTTTTTATTTATTAAAAAAGTTTAAATTATCCAATAAATTTTGTTCCACTTCCCGATTGTGTACCACTTGTTGTTGATTAATGACAAAAAACTAAAATTTTATATCTTTATGTTTGAGGCCTGAAATGTGACGAAATGTTGAAAGGTTCAAGGGGGCCGAATACTTTCGCAAGGTACTGTATGTAACGTCCCCTTTAATCTCACAGAGAAAACTCCTTTATTACAGTTTTGTTTACAGTTAATAATTAGAATAAAGTAGATACAGTTAAAGTGTATGTAATGGCAATGTTTTGATAGTTTAGTAGGTACAGAAAACACGTTTGCACCAGTTTAAATTTTAGAATAGTCTCACTAATAACATAAAGACAGAAACCCAATCTGTATTTTTGACAGCTCACAGTGAAACATTCTGAACCCTGTTGTGACTGTATTCGTAGAGAACATTCAGAGAAAACCAGAAAACATGTCCAATCAGTATCTGGGATTAACCGGAATGGTAACTACGGCAACAGTGACACAATACATACGGGGAACGCGGCGCACAGCAGCTGCCCGCCGTTTGACTGTATCCATCACACTGACCTGAGGTGGATTGTTGTACAAAATTAGACTCTGGTGAGGGACGGGCTCTCTCTGTTCTCCTCCCTCTGCTGTGTGTCGGTCTCGGAGCAGAGATTTGTCTTTATTCACAGCCAAAGTGTGAGTTTTCAGCCATGGCGCCGCGGATCATTCGATTTGCAAACACAGATCAGAGAATCAAACAGTTTGAACACAGGAAATGCAGTCATGACAGAAACACCCACTGTTACAAGTGATGAAAATATGGCAAAATGTAGCAAAATATATCTTAATTTAACACATTTTGATTGTCTTAAAACTAGATTTTCCAATGGGACAAGCAAATCTATCTTAAAGTGGTTCTCACCCCCGCTCCTCGGAGCTTACGTTACTCACATTTCCTGTTCAAATCTTCCTCTAAATGGGCGTAGCCTGGAGCAGTGGTTCCCAAAGTGGGGGTCCCGACCCCCCGGGGGGTCGCGGGAACCCCTGGGGGGGTCGCAAGATTATTTCCACACACACACAAAAAAGCATTTGGTTTGATTCAAAAGGACTACTTGTTAAATTGTGTTTGGAGACTATAATATATTTTAATAACGTTAGTAATTTTGTCCCAGTCATTGCAGCGTCAATCAAAATCATCACGTAACACAGCTCACATCATGCGCAGCGGCAAAGCGTATCCTGCTGTTGTTTGCTAAAATACCTGTTTTAAAATGAAACGTGGTTAATATCCACAACAGAAAAACCCGGAGGGGGAGAAAAGTCACTTGTATCAGGGGTCAGGCTGATGGTGCGAAGAGAGGGAGAGAGGGCAGAGGAGGGAGAGAGGGCAGCGGAGGGAGAGAGGACAGAGGAGGGAGGGAGGACAGCGGTAGAACGGCGCGTTAAAGAGGCCCGGCTTTTCGGAGTCAAAGGTAAAGAGGTCCGCACATTAAAAGCGGGTGGCCGGTTTATGCCTTTACTGACAGTAACTTTGGAAAGAGAAGCCGCGGGGATGAACCGCATAAAGTAACAGCAGAAAGCGGCCGCCCGCTTTTAATGTGCGGACCTCTTTACCGCTGACTCCGGAAAGCCGGCCCACTTTACCGCGGTAGGAGAACAGTGAGGGCGAGCCGCAAGAAATGCGCTCCACTTCTGCCGAGGAGGGAGCCCACCAAGCCATCACTGTGTCACTACATGAGTAAAAATATGCAAGCCTCCTTTTTTGGGCTGGACAGTGCAGCTCGGTAGTGGCGTGAGTCTCTAGAAAGCGTTACTCCGTATCAAGGAAATACATGCTCATTTCATGTGACGGAAGGCCTGTTGGGGGGGGGGGGTCGCGGGTTAGCAGGGCATTTATGATGGGGGTCGCGGGCTAAAAACTTTGGGAACCCCTGGCCTGGAGGACTAAAGGGGGCGTGAACGAGACTGGGCCGTTTACATTGCTCTGGGCGGGGGGCTGCTGACGTCAGGTCCAACTTGCAGACGTCAGGTCCAACTTCTGTGCCAGTGTTGGCGCCAGATTCAAAATTCAAATGTAGTAATACAGGTCGCCAGCAGATGGCGCCTCACAGACGGTTTTAGGCAGAAAGTCTAACTTTCAACTAATTTGCACCAAAGTGACAAGATTATGACCAGGATATGTAGACAACACTATTGGACACTCATTTATACCGTTTATCAGCAAAAAAAAGTGGATTTGAGGGTGAGTTGTCCTTTAAAAAAATTCAAGAAATGTCTCCTTTGGAATTGAGTAAAGTTGAGGTGAGTTATTATTAAACCATTATTATCAGATACATCATACTACATATGATTTCCTAACATATCATTCATTAACAATTACTAGTGGTAGAGCACTGTGCAACAGGCAACACAATGACCCCAGCCAATCAGCACGCAGCAGGCTCCAAGGCAGCAACAAACCAGCAACAGACTAAAGCCCTAGAGCCAGAACTGCACATACAGTACCCTTCCTCATATGTGACAGGCCACGTTCAGTCAGTATTGATCAAACCACAATTTTCATTTTTTACCAGCTAGTATAACACTGTGACTTAATATTCAAACACTTTACATATATACAGATAATTTTCATTTGTGGCAGTGTAATGCCAGTGTTATTGTAATTGATACATGGTGTAATAGGAGAAGATGGAATGAAAATACAGCTACAGTTTTTAAAATAAGACTAAATGGCTTGTCCCATAGAAAAATCAGTCAAAATGGACTCAAATTACAATAAAAAAAACTACTCCATTCAAGCAATTATTACCTCAAATTTCATAATGTTTTGCAGTGCATAACAGTGATTCGTGCTTAGTAGGGATGTTTTCCTTGTTGACTACCATTGGTAAATTAAATTGACATTTGTCGATGGTAGGTGCGTATCTCATTGGACATTTGAGAAGAAAGCATGAGACGGTATACAACGATTACATGCAAGCTGAAGAAAAACAAAAAACTGAAGCCGCCAAGAAATATCTATATATAAATAACAAAAAAATACATTGGTATCGGTATCAGTATATGCCCAAAATTTCACAACCCGTGCATGATCACTCTCCATCAATATAAATTCATGTCCTTAAATGTCACAGATAATCACTGTCCTTAGACCCTCCTGTATCGGCAAGGATCGACTCGAAAACAAAAAAAAACAACTTCAGACCTTATTAAAAGAGGAATATTCAAGAACACATAAACACACTCCTCCGCAGATGTGGCTTGTGCGCTCTCCGCCTTCTCTGAGTGTCTCTTGTGGTTTCTCTCGCAGCTCTCTGAAGTCCCGCGTGAAGATCATGGTAGACGGGACTCTGCTCATCTCCAGGCTGCTCCCGGAGGATTCTGGGACGTACACGTGTATGCCCTCCAACGGCCTGCTGACCCCGCCCACCGCCTCCGCAAACCTCACTGTGATGCGTAGGTGTTTCCTCAGTCTGCTCCTATTCATGTGTTCTCTAGATGTGTTATTCAGACTTTTATCAATTCAATTTGGAGAGACGTGAAACAAGAAGCTTTTGAGTATTTATTGGGAGGAGGTTTGGCGCCCTAGGCCCCGGTGCGGCCTTCAGATCGGAGGGGCTCTGCGATGGAGCGTGCCAATCCCCCGGGACCTAGGCACTGGTGGCGGCATTTGGCAGCGGGAAGCAGATTGAAGGCAGAATGAAGCAGGGTGAAGAGGAGGAGGAGGGGAGGCGGTGGCTGCAGCTTCAAGAGGCCGAGAATGGGAGTTCCTCCGCTTTTAAGCAGCTTGCCTGGCTGGACCGGTGATTGGAAGGGGGCGTTTGCCGTGCGATAGGCTGGGGATGAGAACCGGCCTGGAGGGGTTACCTTTGGCTGACGTCTACCAAATTGAACTTACGCTGGCTGCATTTCAATTTGGAGAGACGTGAAACAAGAAGCTTTTGAGTATTTATTGGGAGGAGGTTTGGCGCCCTAGGCCCCGGTGCGGCCTTCAGATCGGAGGGGCTTTGCGATGGAGCATGCCAATCCCCAAAAAGGTTGTGAGTTGATGGAGTTTTGCAGCCTGGTTTGAAGGGGACAGACGTCGAGACTACTCTATGCTGTGACCGCTATCGCTATATACTGTGACCGCTATCGCTATATACTGTGACCGCTATCGCTATATACTGTGACCGCTATCGCTATATACTGTGACCGCTATCGCTATATACTGTGACCGCTATCGCTATATACTGTGACCGCTATCGCTATATACTGTGACCGCTATCGCTATATACTGTGACCGCTATCGCTATATACTGTGACCGCTATCGCTATATGCTGACGAGTCGCGACCATCGCGCGCTAACCATTTTTTGCTATATACTGTGACCGCTAACCATTTTTTGCTATATACTGTGACCGCTATCACTATATGCTGTGACCGCTATCTATTGTGACCAAACTTGCGGATCCTCATCCGAGCAGTCTCTGCCGAGCAGTCTCTGCCGAGCAGTCTCTGCCGAGCAGTCTCTGCCGAGCAGTCTCTGCCGAGCAGTCTCTGCCGAGCAGTCTCTGCCGAGCAGTCTCTGCCGAACAGTCTCTGCCGAACAGTCTCTGCCGAACAGTCTCTGCCGAACAGTCTCTGCCGAACAGTCTCTGCCGAACAGTCTCTGCGGGCGACCATTGCTTGCGGATACTCAGCTGCTGCGACCATTGCTTGCGGATACTCAGCTGCTGCGACCATGCTTGCGGATACTCAGCTGCTGCGACCATGCTTGCGGATACTCAGCTGCTGCCGCCACCAGGAAGTTTGCAAGTGTTTTATGGAGATGCAAAGACGCGCTGGGCTGCCAGGATGGTCGAAGTGTCAGGCCTGATGTATGAGGAGAGGGCCGGTGATGACCAGCGGCCCAGCTGCTGGAGGGCGGAATAGGGGAGCCCAAGGGACGCGGCGCGCGTGGCGGCGCCTATCCGAAGGAGTGGGCTGTGTAGAGATGGGGAGACAGGTTACAAGCAGCAGTACGGACTTGAGTTGGGCTCTGAAACAGACGGATGACATTGGAAGGTTATCGGGAGCGCGGAGGAGATGCTTTGAGGGAAGGCGTCGGGCCAGGGCCCGGCGAACCACTGGACCTGGAAGAGACCCCCAAAACCCACGGACGGGGCTGCGTCCGTGAAGAACCGCAGGGCATCTGAGGACGGGATGACGTCACTGTAAAAAAAGATACACCGTCCCAGCGGCTCTGCAGACGGGACCCGAATGCCAGGTCGGAGCGGCACCCCGCGTCCGGGCAGACAGCGTCGTTGAGGGAGGAGACGGAGCCAGATATAAGCAGTTCCATATACAAGCAGTTCCATCTATAAGCAGTTCCATATACAAGCAGTTCCATATACAAGCAGTTCCATATACAAGCAGTTCCATATACAAGCAGTTCCATATATAAGCAGTTCCATATATATACAGTTCCAGATATAAGCAGTACCAATATATGCAGTTCCATATATTGCATGAGCAGTTCCAATATGAGCAGTTCCAATATGAGCAGTTCCAATATGAGCAGTTCCAATATGAGCAGTTCCAATATGAGCAGTTCCAATATGAGCAGTTCCAATATGAGCAGTTCCAATATGAGCAGTTCCAATATGAGCAGTTCCAATATGAGCAGTTCCAATATATTAGCAGTTCCATATATTAGCAGTTCCATATATTAGCAGTTCCATATATTAGCAGTTCCATATATTAGCAGTTCCATATATTAGCAGTTCCATATATTAGCAGTTCCATATATTAGCAGTTCCATATATTAGCAGATCCATATATTAGCAGTTCCATATATTAGCAGATCCATATATTAGCAGTTCCATATATTAGCAGTTCCATATATTGGCAGTTCCATATATTAGCAGATCCATATATTAGCAGTTCCATATATTAGCAGTTCCATATATTGGCAGTTCCATATATTAGCAGATCCATGTATAAGCAGTTCCGTATATAAGCAGATCCATTTATAAGCAGGTCCAGATATAAGCAGAACCAATATATGCAGTTCCATGCACTGTATAAGCGGTTCCAGGTATAAGCAGTACCATATAATCAGTTCCAGGTATGAGCAGTCCCAATATGAGCAGTTCCATAAAAGCAGTTCCATAATACATAAGCAGTTCCGTAATACATAAGCAGTTCCGTAATACATAAGCAGTTCCGTAATACATAAGCAGTTCCATAATACGTAAGCAGTTCCGCAATACGTAAGCAGTTCCATAATACGTAAGCAGTTCCAGATATAAGCAGTTCCGTGAGGGATTAAACTGAGAGCTCGCAGTCCAATTTGAGGGATTAAACGGAGCTTGCAGTCAGAGTGAAGGATTTAAACGGAGCTTGGTTAAAGAGAGCCTGCAGACCAATGCGAGGGCTTTAAACTGATGCTTGCCCACCAATGCACGGGGCCAACTGAGCCTGCATTACAAGCGCGGGGCCAACTGAGCCTGCAGGACAATGCGAGGGGAATAAACCGTCCGCAGATCTCATACTTACCCTCAACGCCAGAAGATAAGGGACAACACGACGGGACCACACCGTATGGCACGAGGAGGCAGGGATGCGCACGGCTCCCACCGCACCGGTCCAGACCGGCCGTATGCAGCAGCAGGCCGCGACGAGACGAGCAGCGGCGAACCCGCAGAAAGAGCCCGCAAAGGAGGAGAGCGGCAAAGACCCACGGACCACAGCACGAGACCCGCAGCAGGTGCAGCGACGTGGAGGAGGAGCAGACCACACGCAGCAGGACAGAGGACAGCAGGGACACGCACGAAGTAAGTGAGAGTAGAACAAAGCGATTCCTCCAGAACGACTCTTTGCAAGGCTTCGCTCTTTGCTGCAGCTTCAAGAGGCCGAGAATGGGAGTTCCTCCGCTTTTAAGCAGCTTGCCTGGCTGGACCGGTGATTGGAAGGGGGCGTTTGCCGTGCGATAGGCTGGGGATGAGAACCGGCCTGGAGGGGTTACCTTTGGCTGACGTCTACCAAATTGAACTTACGCTGGCTGCATGACCAAGTTTAGATTTAACCCTGGCTCTTAACAGGCCTTGCTATTGGCCGTTTGTCTGCTTGATAGTATCTATACATACAATTCCGCAGCTTAGATAGTCTAGACCAGTGGTGGGCAAACCCCGGCCCGTGGGCCAGATGCGGCCCTTTGGATGCTTCTATCAGGCCCCTGAGCCCTCCTCAATTTTTATAGGTTAAGATTAAGAGAGATTGGGATTAGGATTAAGAACATTTATTCATCCCACAGTGGGGTAATTTCAGTTTAAACACTATACAATTTTCATGTTTTAAAATGAAGCCCGAGAAAAACATTGGAACATCAAACGGCTGTCGGGATCCGGGCCTAATTTCCAATGTGGCCCTCAGGAGGAACAGTTTGCCCATGTCTGGTCTAGACCAATGTTTTTCAACTAGTGTGCTGTGGTACATTAGTGTGCCTTGGGAAATATTTCAATGTCACATAATTGGTCTAAATAATTTGAGAAGATTGGAAAGATTTTTTACGCTTTTTTCATTTCCGATATATATATATATATATCTACTTTGATTAGAATGACTTTGCTTTCATACGAAAAGCAGCAGTTTCATGTTTGTATCCATTTCCCCACAAGACCAGTGCTTCCCAATTGTTTTAAAGCCATAGAACACTTTTTTTCATTGAAATCACAAGACACACTTCCAGCTAAAACTGATACAAAAATCAACAATGCAATGTCATCATCAAAGTATCTTCTCAATAAGCTCAAAAAAGCCTTTAAAATCTTCACATTCTTTCGACCAAATAGAATATTTCCAAACAACATCGCAAGGCACACTAACATACCACGGCCCACTGGTTGAAAAACACTGGTCTATACAAGTCTGAACACGGTCCCCGGATGTCTCACAGGTCTCTAGGGACGATGTCAGACAACATTTACCTATGGGGAAATTCATTATACATAAGGGACCTTGCCTGTGGATTGTTCAAAAACTTTTTTGCATTCATTTTCTCCTTTAAAAGACAGAAAACACCTCTGAACAATGTCATTATTATGAGTCATCCTACTGTAGCAGAAGTCTGGAGCATTGAGGTGAAGGGATGTGTTTGTGCTAATTATCAATAGCGTCTTTGTGTATTGTGTTTTTAATTGTGGTAAAAATCATTCTCGAGAAGGACATTGCTAATTAGCCTTACATTTAGCCTAAAATGTAGTGTTTTACATAATACAATACATAAATATTGACTCCAACACACAACACTGTTAATTTACTTACTAATGGCAAGTTTATTATTAACACATTCACTTGTTTTCTTTATATCTTGTTACAGCTCGACCATTAAAACACTTCAGCTCTCAGCCGATAAACATCCAGCCGGCTCTTGCATCAGCGTTTGAAACAGTCAGCTTGCATTTCCCCTGAAGGGCGCTTGTAGACCGTCGAAAACAAATAAATCCTTTCTTAAATTGTCCACTGCATTACACAGGCAGACTGCGTAACACTGAGCACAGTGCTCCACGGACAATTTGGAACCATCAGATTGACGGAAAATGGGATTTTGAAGGGAATCGGGCAATAAGCAGTGATTTCAAACATGTGGCAATGAAAGATGTGTACATAAAGCTGGAAAGACACAAAAACCTGCATTCATAGAAATACTGCAATATCAAAAGTCATACAATTGCAGATTTGTGTAATGTATTGTATTGAAAGCAGCTGCGACTAAACTAAAGTGTTTTTTTGGAATTACTTGGGGAAAAAAACAGATACAACACAGAACAGAAGTGGTAAAATGAAGGCCCAGGTATAATTAACATTTCCATCAGGCTTCGCCCCATCCATAATATCACTGCATCTTTTATCTCCTCTATTTCTCTCCCGATGATGTTTTTTTAATTATACTCAAAAAATATGGCGGTTGCAAAAAATCATTATTGAAATATTTATTTTGGGGGCACTTTCTATCTATCTTTCCATCTATGTATCTATCGTCCTACTTTCACTTCTCAGGAACAATCATTTCACCTTCAGAAAGGACCTTTCTGAGTGCAGTTTGCATATTCTCCTTGTGTCTGCATAGGTTTCCTCTAGGTTCTCAGGTTTCCCCCTACCACTAAAAACATGTACAGTGGCTCCCGAGTCCCATCTCTCTGGGGCCAGGTGTCCCCTGAAAAGAAGCGTCAATGTAGAGTCCCGGACACTTTCTATACAGCATCATCACATCCCACAACCATTTTTCTAACACCTTTTTGTGTATGTATATTTCTTGTTGATTTAGGTACAACTCTATTTTTCATACTATTCCTGGTTTCTACCTTTCATCTGATTTACATACAATTTATGAAAAGAACACTTTCTTAGAACAGAAGACATTTACTTTTGCAAAAATGTCCCTCAGCAAAGAAAAGTAAATGGTGCTGATCTACAGGCCGATTAATAACGTCTACTATCTAAACACCGGCTGAAATCTGGAAAAGCCTTCCAGAAAATGTGAGACAGACTTCCACTCTAAATCCATAATTCAATTCAATTCAATGTATTCTTGTATAACCCCAAATCACAACAGTGGTTTCCTCGGAGGACTTTACAAAACCATTGAATTCGCCAACGCCTACAGCCATTGGTCCATTGGGGGAGTTGATAAATGTCCATAAATGTTGTTGAATGTCGAGTGTCCTGGATCATCACCCCTGTCCTCTGCATACAACTGAAGGATTGTATCTTAACTCTTTTAAATGTAGGGAACATATTTATAATTTGCTATACCTGCCTTGCCTGTCCACAGTTATCCATAACAATCACTGGTTGCACAGGCCAACGTCAAACCAACGTCAGACTTTTGAGACAAAAAATTTCTATTTTAATAATGAGCATATCATAGCATGCTATGAGCATATCCTTGCAGAGGCCCTGGTAATAATGAGTATATTTTGTATAACTTCATTGACCCTGTGAAGCACTCACTTCCCCTGGACATTCAATTTCACATTTTTTCCCTCCATTTCACATCATGTCCCTGCTTAGGAATCCTTGTAATGTCATCATGTTGTAACCAGCGTTTCTCTCTTCTCTCAGACCCCGCCCAGGCTGCCCAGACCCCCCAGGACATCTACCTCCCCACGGGTAAAGACGGCCTGGTGTCCTGCCCCACGGTAGCTCAGCCGCCGCTGCTGCGTGTCGAATGGATCAAAGATGGCGAGCCGCTCGACCTTTCTGTGGTAACTCAACTTCAATTCATGTTGCATCATCCGGGGATTTAAAGTAGTCTTTGAATGAGCTGATATTATGCAAAATTGACTTTTTTGAAGCTATGTTATATTGTTATTCCCAAAAACTTTGCAGAAGTGAGAAATGTGATCTGGGAGAGGCCTAAAACCTAAAAGTAAACATTATGTAAATATTATTAACAGTAATTTTAGTTTTATTGTATGTTTTTGGCATAGGTACTATGGTGATTTACAGTGAATTGAGAAAATGAGCAAAGCAATGAGGATTTAAATATTTTAAATTATTTAATAATTTAAGTTCCCACATAATAAAGTAAAAGAACTAGTCTGTTGTCATCCATCCATCCATTTACTTCCCCTCAATTTATGGGTTGGGGGGGTGGCAGTCAGAACTGAAACCCATTCACAGAGCACCTGTAGCCACCAGTTTGTAGCCGCTCCATGAAAATCCCAGCAGGAGGCCGGTCCCTGTGCTCCCCAGAGTCGGTTGGTTCATATGGCACTAACATGTCACAGATATACTTTGATGCTTCGACATGGAGAGACTTGTAACAAACAGAGCTGCTTTAAGTCTATTCTCTGAGCCACAGAAGCCAGAGCAGAGACCTGAGAACTGGACTAATGTTATTGTGCTTCCTCATTCTAGTCAAAATTCCAGCGCTAACATTTTTACTAAACTCCAGCTCATTTGGAAAGTTTGATGAGCAGGTCATTACAGTCATCTACAGCATTAAATATAATCTTGAAAACCTGTTCTAAAAGGTTTGGAAAAGCCGACCATGTCAAAACAGCGCATTACAAGCCCAGAGGGGGTTGAGCACTCTGCATTTCCTTACATTCAAATGTGACATCCTGCCAAGATGTCGCTCATTTTACACCGGTCTAACTCGGCCCACCTCCTCTTTGTTCCGCGGCCGGACTCTTTTTGAACGTCAGCGCGGCGTGTGGGGGACGGGACGCGCCGCAGGGAATGTGATCGACTCTCGCGCCGCCTTTTATTCTGCCAATTATCCCCGTTCTGGCAAAGATGTCACTGAAGCGCCACCACCGTCTCCGCCGCGCCTGTGTGTGTGCTGTGGATAATAGCGGTTTTGACTTCATTAATCCCACACGTTTCTGCAGTCAGTCAAAGCACAACATGCGCTTTGTGTCGCGGCTTAAGGCGACGAACAAAAATATAAATAAGTCGAGAAAGTGACAGATACTCAGATTTGGGCTTTGAAAGCGACGCTAAAAGCTCTTCAAAGTGTTCCCGTGGCATGTTTGTGCGGAGCCGAGATTTGATAAGTGGAGCGTAGATGAACAAAACAAACAGGAATGGTAGTGGAGAATAGATATGCCAACATTAATTATTAAAACACAACACAAGGCATTTAATATGAACATTATTCTGTGACATATTACCCTATTGTCTCATGTCAAGCCGTGTTCTTTTTTTGAGAGTTGAACCATGTTACAAGATCCTCCCCTCATTTAAAAAAAACAGATTTTTTTCTTCTTTGAGCTCCCTCCACGGTAAAGCCTGTATAATCAGCGTCTGGCATAAACCTGTAAAAACATGGCTCCCTGCGTCTTCTGTCAAAAAGCTCTGTTATCAAATATGTTGCTTTATAGCCCTTACCCACTGTGGACCGTGTATTTTTCTGTGTTGAAATGGCGTGTCGACCCGGGACATGAGTGGGAAAGGTTTTGAGATGGTATATGTCAAAATAAAATGGTAAAAATGTGCGCTTTCTAAAGATTAGTTTTCTAAAGTCACAGCGCAGTGCAGGTCGGGACCAGAGGGAATCACATTATGAGGGACTGCAGCAGGGACGTGTACGGCCCGTAGACCGATTGCGGCTGTATCATTTTGTGTGGTTATCTACCTTTGAGATGATAAACACAAGTTCATTGTGTCATCCAGCCAACTTCAGCCATGCTATAGCTCCTTGCAAAGCCTAAAGAGCCTCCAGATTTTGACCCTGCCAATTTTAAAAACAAAATGTATCATGACTGTAAACATTTTTCAATTGTCTGACTTCAGCTGGGTCAAATGCAAATCACATCCCATACCTCATTATGAAGCTCAGAACAGACCAAAAACAGTAGAAAGTTTTAAAATGCTGGTTGTCGGGCGCTGGGCTAGTGAACCAAAGTGTCCCTCCTAAACAGTTTGGACTACGGCAAGTTTATTCTCCACATCCAGCAATACGTTTTCAAACATATTTTGTACAAGGACAACTATATTTAATTATTTCAATTCTGGACCGGACAATACATACAATATATTACAGTTACATTTCAAAACATTTCGTCTTGAATGAAAAGGAGCAGAAAGAAGAACAAAATCTTATGTTGCCTGCCCCTTTCTTCAAACATGTATAAAATAAATAAAAAACTAAAATAAGATGGACTTTAGCAGTCCTCCTTCAAACTGTTTATTATTTTCTTATTGATTTGTTTTCAAAATTCTTTGAAAATAAACTTTATAAAAGGAAAAAGCAGTAGAAAAGCCCGAGCTTCACTCTTGTTACAGGGCTTGTGATGCTGTCGTTAGGCAAATATTGTCCCAGGATGAGACTTGTGTTGTTTCAGGGCTGGGCGAGGGAGAAGGAGAAAAAATAATAAACCTTGATATCGTGTATACCTTGATACAATACGATATATATCTGGATATTTTTACAGGATAAATAGCCCCATAAAAAGTACTGCAAAAGAGACACACATGACACACTTTTCCCAACCTTGATAATTATATTTGTTAAAACTCTTTATGAAAAGATTTTAATTAAAAAGAAGTTTCACGATAATTACACAGTCCTTCAGATGCTGCATCTGCTCAAACCATGAGTGATCCTCAATAACATCCTCCCAACAATTTTTAGCCATCTCTTTAGTTTACCTCAGTAATTATCCATCATGCTAAAAATAAAAACCAAATTGGTCTGTGAAAATCTCTCTCTTGCCTGTTGCACATATTTTATTATTTTTGTTGTCAAATGAATTAGATGTAGTGGGAGTAAGTCCATCTCTCCTCTTTGTTATTGTTGCCACGCTTCATATTTTAGCCATGAACTCACAAACAGTCTTTAAACAAATGTACCTCATGAGAAAAATATTGTATTTTTAATGTTTGTTTTCTGCTGTCGTTCGTCACAGCTGTAGAGATTATGAAGCTTTGAGGAGCTTGAAGCGTTGTTCAAACGTTAATGCTACAATAATTAATTAAAGTTGGGATGCAACAGTGGAATCCTGAAAAAGTCATGCAGAATATTGAGTGGTCTTATGAACACACCGTGACTTTTCCACACACACAAGTTATATTGTATATTGTATTTTCTGTGTATATTTTATTGATTGTATTGACTCATATGCAAGCACAGGATCCATAGCTAAGAAAAATAAAATAAAAGTTATAAAAGAGCAGTGCAAAGGACAAACATGAGAATCACATTCTTATTCACAAATTATCGGCAGCTCTACAGAAATGACAATCAATAGAATATACATCATAATCCAATATGAGTCAGAGAAACAGATTAAAACAACTTTTCAAACATTTCAAAAGATTTCAAAACCAACAAAAACACACAAAAACAGTTTCGATGTCAACAGTGTTGGTGGGAACTCAATCAATCAACAGCAATCAACGTCTAATGGGATTCACCAAAATAATTTAAGAGTAATTAAAAAACACTGATCAAAATGCATACAAGAAACAATAAGATAAATCATTATACAACAATTTCATGAAATTCTTATTAAAATGGAGGTATAAACACCAGGTCCCAGAGAGGGGTTGCTGTAACTGTAAACTGTTATGTCCTTTGGCAAGACACTTCACCCACGAGACTGATCGGTGGAGGTTGGAGGGTCCTGACACCTTGCTTCCCTCAGTTTGACTCAGGGCAGCTGTGGCTACAGTAGTCGTTTTGTGAACCCATGGAGTGATTGGATAATACTTCATATAGTGACTTTCAGTGTCTAAAATAGCAGTATAAGAATCTATGTATTGTAATTCTAGTTTATAAAAGCATTATGAGTGCCGCTTTTAACCTTAACCTTCAAATAGACCGCACCATTTTAAGTGTTTACTATACTGTAGAAGCAAAATGTATATACCCACTTTTTCCACTACTTATTCCTTGTTTATCCCTTGTGCGTCGTTAGAGCCATAATTTAGTTTATAATAAAATGTCTAATAATGTTCAAATTAGTTCTAAAATTTTAAAAACGTCCTGAAATGTAATTCATTATTTACTTACTCTAATGTGAAAGTTCAAGTCTAAATATTACTAGTTTGGAGCTAAAGAGGACAAGTTACCATGTGGATAGATGGGACAGGTGCAGGGAGCTTGTGTAATGAGGAAGACCGACATGGTTTTTGACCGCACGCAAAGCAGCGCACGCACTCATGCACGCGCAGACTATTTGAATGATTTTGAATGATAAACGATTGGAAATGGATCTACGGCTACGCGCTGTGTTTTTATGTGTTGTGTCAGAAAGCGGACACCCAAAGAATGGCTTTATTAGATTTATTAGATTAGATTTATTAGATATAGATTTATTCATGGAAAAATATAACTATTATTTCTTCACTCATTATTCAACACATTTACACATTCAAATCAATTTGTATTTATATTTTCACTACAAAATTGCTTGACAGTTTTTCCCTAACCCTGTTTTTATTTTTTTTTTCCCTATAACTTATTTTAATAATACGTTTGAATTTGAACTCACAATGATACATCCAATCAAAGTCTCAAAAAGTTTCTCTAAGTCCAAGATTCTAAGTGCAAGTAATGATGAAGTCAGCTGTTATCTACTCTTGCCCAGGTTTTTTTTTTTCATGTCTTTTATAAGTCCACAATTTTGTTCTGATTAAAAGGGACAGCCTTGACGGACGTGTTATATTATGCTATTTACAGCTTAGTTCTAAGAAATGTTCTGTTGAGCTTTCAGTCATCAAGGCTTTCACTGATCGTGGCTTATAGACCACAGCCTCTCTCTGTTCTGTCTGTGACGTTATGTGCTGTATGTGTTTTCAGTTTCCAGGCTGGAGTCTCACAGCAGACGGTTCTCTGCTGATGGCCACGGTCAACGATGATGTGGCCGGCGTCTTTGTGTGTACGCCGTATAACAGCTACGGCACTATGGGGCCATCGGGGCCAATCACAGTCAAGCTGCAGGTTTGTACTTTATCTATTTGTACAGAAATGTCATTCGCTACGACCTTAATGCTTTGTGGGTTGGGGGTTACATGCCATCCATCCAACACACAATCAAAAGCCGTCACAGAAGAGCCTAATATTAAAGGACAACTCACCCTCAAATCCACTTTTTTTTGCTGATAAACGATTTAAATGAGTGTCCAATAGTGTTGTCTACATATCCTGGTCATAGTTTTTTCACTTTGGTGCGAATTAGTTGAAAGTAAACTTTCTGCCTAAAACCGTCTGTGAGGCGCCATCTGCTGGCGACCTGTATTACTACATTTGAATTTTGAATCTGGCGCCAACACTGGCACAGAAGTTGGACCTGACGTCTGCAAGTTGGACCTGACGTCAGCAGCCCCCCGCCCAGAGCAATGTAAACGGCCCAGTCTCGTTCACGCCCCCTTATGTCCTCCAGGCTACGCCCATTTAGAGGAAGATTTGAACAGGAAATGTGAGTGACGTAAGCCCCGAGGAGCGGGGGTGAGAACCACTTTAAATTCAACAACATCAATGCTGTAGTTCTATAAACGTCCAGCAGGTGGCAAACATATATACTGTTGCACTAAGCATCAACAACTCTGAGGCTGATGGTTTAAACCCTTCTTGTGATTCTAGAGGTTTTTTACCCAGCTTGTCAACTTTACTGTGTACAGCTTCTATGGGTGATACTCCCTCAAGGGCGCAAAGCCTTATGGGTAATGTGCAAGTAGCGAATACTTTAACTTTGTCGGAGGCGATAAGTTTCATGCGGTCATTTGCCTGTGCTGTCGGCTCCCTGAGGACTGGTGGGAGACGGGGTCTGGATGATTAAGATTAAGATTAAGAGATGATTAACCCTTTATTCGTCCCACAGTGGGGAAATTTCAGTGTTGCATCACCATTTACAAACCAGTAAGAATTAGGAGTACACAGCAACAGATAAGATAACATTAAATCTTTAACTTTGGAGCTATGTGGCCTGGGCTGAGGCGACGGATGGAACAAAGCACTGTCCAAATACTTCTATGAATATTAATGAATGGTTAGTGATGTCACCCTGTGTAGATCACCCAGGACCCAGGACCCAGATCTGATCATCCCAAAGGGAGGACTGACATGGGTCCACTCCCTGCAGAGGGCTTATTGGGGTTTGGGTGCATAAAGGACTGAGCGGGGGCAAAAGACTGCTTATATTGCAAGATATTGGATGGAGTTTTTTTTCATCCACACACTTTTTTTCTCTAAATTTGGAATTTTACCAACAAAATTTAAATCAAATATGTCGGATGAACTTGTAGTAAATATTCTGTTTTGAACAATCCCTATAAGGTAACACTCTAAATTGAATTGAATTCAAGGTATTTTTGTATAGCCCTAAATCACAACAGCAATTGTCTTGGAGGACATTACAGCGTTTTAAAGTCTTCAACAACAGATCAGAGAAATAAACGCAATAGTAACAAACACATAGCATCCATTGGTCCATAAGGAGGGTTGTGACCAATGTTCATAGATAAGTTTGTGTAAGCCCTCAGTCGTACAGGGATTAGTCAAAGCAAAGGAAGGTTTCTCACCCATCATCTGTACTTCTTAGCAAGTTTTCCCGACGTTTCGTCCTCAACCTGGGGACTTCTTCAGGGAATGAATTCTCGGACCGCGCGTTGGAGATTTTCCTTCCTTTGCTTTGACTAATCCCTGTACGACTGAGGGCTTACACAAACTTATCGTTGCCAACTTTGGGAGAGACGCCCTGGTCTTGGCACGCGGGTTGGAGAAAATCAAAAGAAAACTAGCAGACGCCAGAAATCATCTTAGGTTTAATCTTAGGTGTAGCCAGAGTAAACTTATCCCAAAATGTTTAAAGCAAAAAGCATTAGAAACAGGCCAGTTGGCAAGAAAAATACAACAAAACTACTGTATGAAGATTCTCAATTTAAGAATTCGACGACTTAACATAGAGATTATAAACCTAAAGGACGAGATAGAGGGCCTTAAGCACAAACTGGAATTGGCAGTCTCACCAGAGTTTTTTCAGAGGATTTGGACGTTTACGGAAACTGCCCAACTGAACCATCACAAGAAGGCCAAAGAACGTCAGATAGGCAAATTTCTAAAACTCCAAAACCATAATTCTTTTCAACATTCTAAAAGTGAAATTGGACAAGGCTTGGACAGGGAGAATTGGGTCAAAAATCTGTCTGATCGGCATTTATCACAAGCGGAAAAAGATGTTCTTACTAAAGGCCTAAATTTTGCAATAACCCCAAAAGATATTCCTACAATTGAATACATCACAGCAGCAGAAGCAGCCATTAGAAACAACAAACTAACTGAGAGTGAGGCAGGGGCCCTCAGACTGAGAGTCTCTGCAACACTCAAAAGTGCGAAGCCCCCACAATCCAATGTCTCATTAGATGAGCAAAAAGCATTATTGGCATTACAAAAGGATGAGAATATAACTATTTTACCAGCTGACAAAGGCAGATGCACAGTTATCCTCAACAGCTCAGACTATGAGGCCAAAGTTAATCAGTTACTCTTGGACACCAACACGTACCAGCCATTGAAGAGGGACCCTACCAGTGGGTTTAGGAAAAAGATTATAGACTTCCTTCAGAACTTAATGAAAGAGGGCATTATTGAAAAAACACTATATTACAAACTTTACCCAGGGGACACCATCCCCAGTATTTATGGCCTCCCAAAAATACACAAACAAAACTTTCCACTTCGGCCTATTGTACTGTATGTAGCATAGACTCTATCACCTACAACCTGGCTAAACACCTCAAAACCATTCTGGCTCCTTTGGTGGGTAACACCCACCATCACATAGAAAACACAAAAGAATTTGTAAATAAAATCAAACACCTCCAGTTTGACACAGATGAGACAATGGTCTCGTTTGATGTGACATCGCTTTTTACGTCGGTCCCTATTACAGAGGCGGTGGAGGCTGTAAGAGAAAGCCTACAGAAAGACGCCACACTAGGGGAGAGAACGAAACTAACAGCTGACCACATCTGTGAAATACTTGAAATGTGTCTTAACACCACGTATTTCCAATTCAGAGGCACCTTCTTTAGACAGATTCATGGCTGTGCGATGGGCTCCCCAGTCTCTCCTATAGTGGCCAATCTGTATATGGAGAAACTGGAGGAACAAGCCCTGGGCTCTTACCAAGGGACAGCGCCAAGCCATTGGTTTCGATATGTAGACGATACATGGGTTAAGTTAAAGAAACAGGAAGTGGAACCATTTTCAGCACACATTAACTCGGTGGACCCTTTTATAAATTTCACTCGCGAGGATGCTAAGGAGAGTGAACTCGCCTTTCTAGATTGTAAGGTCATCATACTGGAGAACGGACAATTAGAGACTGAGGTCTTCAGAAAGTCCACTCACACTGACCAGTACTTGGCCTTTGATTCAAATCATCCGCTACAACACAAACTCGGGGTCATTAGAACGCTTCAACACCGAGCCCACCAGGTCCCCACTAGCTCGGAGGGAAAGAACAGAGAAACCAAACATGTTCAGAGAGCACTTTCCAGATGTGGCTACCCCAAGTGGTCTTTTACTAAAGCCCAAAGGACGAGAAAGGCCAGAGACACAGTCCTACAGACAGAAGAAAGTAGGAGGAGAGGGGTGTCCTTACCGTATGTGGCGGGAGTTTCAGAGAAACTACAAAGAATCTTTAGGCAACACAAAATCCCTGTGTATTTCAAACCTTTCAACACGTTAAGACAGAAATTAGTGCATCCCAAAGACAAAACACCCAGACACAAACAGAGCAATGTGGTGTATTCAATTAAATGTAGTGAAGAGGAGTGCACTGACCACTATATTGGAGAAACCAAACAAACTCTACAGAAACGACTTTACCAACACCGTAGAGAAAACTCTAGTGGGCCACAGTCGGCTGTTCATCTCCACCTCAAGGCCTCCAACCACACGGTGGATGACACAGAGGTTAAAATTCTGGCTCGGGAGAAGAATTGGTTTGAGAGAGGAGTGAAAGAAGCCATTTTTGTGAGGAAACAAAAACCTTCTCTTAACAGAGGAGGAGGGTTAAGATTTGTTTTGCCTCGCATCTATGACGACATCCTAAAAACAACGCCCTAACTTGGGACAAGGTCAGTGACATGCTAATGAGTTAGGAGGGGTGAGACCTGCACTCCACTTGAGCATCCCAGCAGACAATAGGTCTGTGACATGCTAAGGAGTTAGGGTCGTTAGCCTCAGCAGGGTCGTTAGACCTGCTCCCTTCTACATCAAGCAGACCGTAGATTGTTTATGAGTTAGTATCAGGATTAGGGTGTGGCTAACCACACCCATAGGTTATAAATCTCCAACGCGCGGTCCGAGAATTCATTCCCTGAAGAAGTCCCCAGGTTGAGGACGAAACGTCGGGAAAACTTGCTAAGAAGTACAGATGATGGGTGAGAAACCTTCCTTTGCAATGTTCATAGATGTCAATAAACATCCATAAATGTCCTTACATGTCCATAAAAAATCAAATCAAAATCTTCCAAATTACTGTATGTCTTTTTTTACAGTGCTAATTGATATAGTGATCAGCCTACTGTCGGCTCTGACCCTAACACTATTTTTACCTTTATAAAGTCGTTCCTACTGTGCCACTTGTCCATCTCTATCTGCTTTCTTTTTAATTATGCATGAGCGTTTCTGTCACAGTGAATTAAAACCTCAAGTGCAAGGACATTTTATTGACCTTTTCCAGTGGACATCTGAGACCTTTGCCATATTCAGGACTCGCCCTCTCCTCATCGACAGCACAATTGAGAAGCTAATTGTGCGGCTAATCCCTTTGTTAGTTGGATAATCTTGTCCATGCAGCAGTAAGCCAGCCCAATTATACACCATTTACCATGAACACGACATTATACGACATACAAATTGGTTGGTTTATTACCCGTCTTGTTGTTTATTCTAAATAGTGGGTAAAAAAAACAATTCTTATTGTCTTTTTGTGGAGACAGCTTTTGATTTGTCTCTGCAACGGTTGAAATTCTTCATTCTGGCATTGATCACTATTACAGACTTGATAAATGAGTTTGAGAAATTTGCAAATATTTTTTTACTGTACAACCCCGGAACCACTGAATCTAAAAACTTGATCCATTGTGGGTGACTGCTTCATGCTATAAGGAAAGTGTGTGTCCCTAGCTTGATTATTGTTAGTATTAGACTGAATGGGGTACTGTATGGTCAACATGTGTTGTGAATATTTTAAAATGTATAATTGGAACAAATATCAAATAGATGAATTATGTCAGTTTGAATGAGCTATGAGTTGTACAGATTGTGTGAAGGACTGTGTGCGTGTGTGTTTTTTTGTAGAAAAATATAACAAAATTAACTTGCTGTAATGAATTTTATTTTTCATGTATTCATTTATTTGACAGGGACATTGCAAATGAACATAGAACAAAACAAGCTTGTAACTGATGCGATCCACAACGAGTTTATAGCTAATGCTAATTTTAGGCCGTCGAATTGCAGACCGCCTTGGTTTTTGGTATTTTTGATGTACTCTTCTTCCTTTTGTCATGTTTATACAATGTTAATGAGTTGGAACGTGACTAAAAATCTAACCTAAGTGTTCCGCTGTCCCTACAGAAGAGTCTGGTAAAAGTAAAATGTGGCAATCAAATCAAGAGAGTCGATGGTTCTTTCTTTTCCACTTTTCTGTCTGAAATATCTATGATGCATGTGAAAACTAGTGATAGAGCTGAAGAGTTTTGAGGAACTAAGGATTTCATTACATAGTTGGAGGAATAAAAGTTGTATACCCCAGATTTTAAAGCAGCAGAACTTACTATCAAAAAGCCTAGCATGTTAGCCTAGCTCCTGTTAGCTTACAGCCGCTAACTTAGCAAACTGCACCCTTGGTTATGAGAGTTGAGAGAAAACACTTTTGGGAGTATTTGAGGATGTTATTTTTAGTTTTTTTTCAGAATTTTAAGACCATAAAGAATTGGGTTATAAGATCTCAACAGAAATAGCTTTTTCTTATTTTCATTAAATCTAATATGAAAAGATGACCTCAAAGTTTTCTGCTGTCACGGGGGTTATTTATACACCTCCATGTGGTTATTGCTCCTCACGACATTCTCACACATTCATATTCACTTATGCAGATTCATATTTTGCTGGCATGACGGCTTTGCTTTTATTGCTGCGTCTGAAGCTAATTCTCTGGCATGTTCCCAGGACCCCCCGTGGTTCAGCCTGGTCCCAGAGGCGGAGTACAGAGAGGAGGTGGGGAGGCGCCTGCTGCTGCCCTGTCAGGCTAATCAGGACCCCACTGTCAAAGTCACATGGAGCAAGGTAACTTCACCATTCTTCCAATATCAAAAGAGAGCTTATGGCTAAAAAGGGAGGGAAAACACATCACATAATAATGATTTTAAAAAATAATAATGTCCTGGACCTCGAGTCTGTAATAAAGTTTGACGACGATGAATAATGCATAGTACTTGAATATAGTGCTGGGTATAACACACTCCACAAGGTTTTATTTATTCAATGCACTGATGGCCACCAATCACTCACACACACCAGACTCTTTTCTCAAATTTTTGAGTTTTTGCCTTTAGAATGGTAATGGTCAGAAAGTCATAATTCAAAAACATAACATGGCAACAATTATAATGCAAAGAAGATATTACATAATAGTAATGATAATACTAGTCATAATAATATCAAATAAAACAGGAAAAGAAAATGGAAAAAAAAAATTATATATACAAATATTGTTTAAATAAAAACTAGACTAAAGACTAAAAATCCATCCATCCATCCATTTTCTTCCCCTTAATCCATTTCTGGGTCGGGGGTGGCAGTCAGAGCTGCACCCAGTCACAGAGCACCAGCCCCTCACTGATCCTCCTGCAGGTGGTGAGTCCACAGGAGCTGAGATCTTTCAGTTGGAGCTTCAGGCAAAGTGGGGTTAAGTGTCTTGCCCAAGGACACAACGACAGCAGTCATCAGTGGGAGTCGTGAAGTAGGTCTTGAGGTGGGCTCGAACCCACGACCTTCAGGCTCAAAGGCCAATGCTCTACCAACTGAGCTACTGTCGCCCTGTCGTAAAGACTAAAAATGTATATATAAAAATAGGATGAAGACAAAAATATATGGTAATACTAATGATAACTATACTAACCATTACCTTTTTTTACCATCTAAAAAACATTGCCAGGATCAAAAACATAGTGTCTAAAGCAGACTTGGAGATTCTTATCCATGCATTTGTCTCCAGTAGGTTAGACTACTGCAATGGCCTGCTCACAGGTCTGTCCAAACAGGCTGTAAAACAGCTGCAGTGCATTCAAAATGCAGCAGCTCGAGTCCTGACTAGAACCAGGAAGTACGACCACATTAGTCCAGTCCTCAGGTCCCTGCACTGGCTTCCTGTGGCTCAGAGAATAGACTTTAAAACAGCTCTGCTTGTGTACAAGTCTCTCCATGGCCTCGCACCAAAATATATTAGTGACATGTTAGTACCATACGAACCAGCCCGGACTCTGGGGAGCACAGGGACTGGACTCCTGTTAGTGCCCAGAGTCAGAACTAAACATGGGGAGGCTGCTTTTCAGATTCATGCTGCTAAAATCTGGAACAGTCTTCCTGAAGATGTGAGACAGGCCTCCTCAATGACAATGTTTAAAACCAGGTTAAAGACAGTTCTGTTTAGCTGTGCATACAACTGAGGGATTTTATATTTGTATCTTTCTTTTTAATGTTCTGTGATTATTTATGATTTTAATGCTTTCTTATTTTGTTCAGCACTTTGAATTGCCTTGTGTATGAATTGTGCTATATAAATAAACTTGCCTTGCCTTGCCTTGCCTTGCCTTGCCTAAAGAAGTAAATAAAATATAAAAAATCACACACACCAGACTCTGAGGCATTGTGGGTGATGTGTCTCCCGTTATAGTACTCAGTATAAGGGCTGCGCTATAAATGGGAAAAATATTGTCATGGCGATAAGAGAGAGTGGGACATCCATACCGCAATGATGTGTGAAAACTTGGCGCCGTTGCCTGGAATGAGTCTGATGTGTGGTCCGAGGGGCCGCTGGCACACTCTGGCACACTCACCGGTGGATGCTGGTCGAACGCACAAGCCCGCGAGCCGACAGACAGAATTATTGGAAAAGTTATGTTTTTCCCCAAACTTGGAGTTATATTGAGTCAGTATGGAGATGGAAATATCTGGGTTAGTTTTTTTTTTGTATCTTGCCCACTTATTCAAAAAATTGCTGGATATTAGTCATTTACTAGTATTTTTTGTGCATATAAATTGGTTGATGGATTTTTTATTTGGTTTCAATTGTGTGTAGAATGGGAGAAAAAAGAAAAAAACTATTAACTATTGTGATGCAGAGACCGTTTTTCCATTTTCCATTTTGACATTGATCCTTGTTACAGAGAAAAAAATAGTTTGAAAAATAGGTGAATTTGATTTAATACAAAAGCTGAAACCACTTCATCAAAAACTGGGCTAAGGCCATAGTGAGGGACTGTGTAAAAAGAACTTGGGTAATGCTCCTATCAGAATGGAGGAGGTAAGGTCAAAATGCGTTTATGAATATTTCAAAATGTTTATAATGTACAAATATGAAAAGGATTAATGATGCCAGCTGAGACCAATTTCTAGCGTGAATTTTGTGGTATGTCATGTTATCCTTCATATTTAATCTCCTCAAAGCCAAGAACCGTCTCATCACCTGGGCTCTTCCACAGACAGGAGTGGGCCAACATTCTCCTGGAGGCTGCTATGAAATGTATAATTTTTTATTTATTTATGAACAGTATTAATTCTGATCAAAAGGAGTGGGCTGAAGCAAGAAGCCTATATGAGAACCCCCACCCCTAAACCAAATTACTATCAGACTTTTCATATCACGGTACAATAGTACAGATCAAGGACACAAAAGCACAAAAACAAACTATGCACATCCTGGATTATGGAATAATCAACAGTTAACAATTTGAACAGAAGAAAAAGGTCCTGGGAATCTGGGTCAGAACAAGGCCTTTCTGAGTGGAGCTTGCATGTTTGTAGGTTCCCTCCAAGTGCTCCGGTTTCCCCTACCACAAAAAAAACATGTAAAAAAGGTGTGAATGTAATGAGTGAGTTAATGGATGGTGTTGGGGTTTCCGCTTCCGTGATCACAGTGTGTGGAGAGAATGGAATATCTGAACTCTGAACATGGAGAGCGCTGGTCTGTAATAATGTGCTATATAAATAAGCATTACTTACTTACTTACATTGGTCGGCTGCAGGTGGACGTCTCCAGGCGTGTATCTTACTCCATCGCGGCTAACGGCTCGTTGCTGCTGCAGCCGCTGACCAAGGAGCACCAGGGCGCGTGGCAGTGCAGTGCTGCTAACCGTGTGGCCTCTGTGAGCACCTCCACACGGGTGTCTGTGCTCGGTGAGTCTGCCTCCTCTTACATCAGCCGCATTCAGCCCAAACACTATTTATAGTCTTCACATAAAAGAGATGTCTGTTTGAAAAGGCCCAGTTCTGATTGAACCGCTGAAAGAAATGCAAGACGTTTCCATGTTGTACTCTCTGATCTTCAAACGCAATAATAACGTAACATAACATACAGGTCGTGTTTGTAAATGCTAAAAGATTAACTTGGATGAAACAAAAATAATCAGAGAGCTATTCATTTAGAATTGAATGTATTTTTGCATTGCCTTGGCCTGTCACTATAATTATGATATAAACTTATTGTTCAATCATTGAAACCAGGACAGTTATTAACGATTATTTTGACAATTTGCCCAAAACAAAGCTTAAAACCTCTTCTCTTATTTCAACAAAATTATATAGCAATAATTAAATGAGTCGACAACTATTTCAATAATTGATTATTTGCTATTAATTGATTAACTTATTACAGCCCTCAATATACAACATAATTTGAGCAAATAGTGGAGGGATAATAATATGGAAGACAACGAGGTTCTTTCTCTTGAATATAACTTATGTTTTCTGTTTACTTTTAATGACTTTTTAATGAAATATACAAATGAAAAAATTTTCTTTGTCATAACTCTGTCGTAAGCTACTAGCATCAGTGGATTTAAATGTCACAGTTTTTATAGTATTGTTTATCACAACAATATCTTATATGTTGTCCAAATCAAAATGAGTTTTTGTGACAGGCCCAGTATTCACAACAGCAAACAACTTTACATTATTGTCGATTTGCCAACAACAGATTAGCGGATCATAATAAGATAAAAAAAAAAAAAAAAAGAAGGCCTTTCTGAGTGGAGCTTGCATGTGTGTAGGTTTGGAGTTACCTACACATGAAGACTATTGCTAATTCTAACAATAGCTAGCAATAGTATTCAAATGAAACAGCAGCAGAGGTGGTGTAGCCTCTGGGTGGAGCAGGACAGATCACAGCAGCAGAGGTGGTGTAGCCTCTGGGTGGAGCAGGACAGGTCAGCAGCAGAGGTGGTGTAGCCTCTGGGTGGAGCAGGACAGGTCAGCAGCAGAGGTGGTGTAGCCTCTGGGTGGAGCAGGACAGGTCAGCAGCAGAGGTGGTGTAGCCTCTGGGTGGAGCAGGACAGGTCAGCAGCAGAGGTGGAGTAGCCTCTGGGTGGAGCAGGACAGGTCACAGCAGCAGAGGTGGAGTAGCCTCTGGGTGGAGCAGGACAGGTCAGCAGCAGAGGTGGTGTAGTGGTGGTTCGGACCATTTTCTCTGCCCTAGTCCAAAGTGAGATGCTGAATGCTTTGTTAGCATTTTTCAAAACGTTTGCCTTCCTCCGGTGGATTTTTGCCTGATGCGCTTGGTTTGGACCATGAATCCTCTCCGCTCCGGTCTGGACCAGTGCAAAACCATGAACCTTGTACTGCAGCAACATTAGGCACAAAAAAGTAAGAAAAAAACAATTATCTTTATAATTGTTTTTTATAAAGCTATGCTTTTTTACTGTCGCTCCTTGAAAATACATTACTGTCCCTCGTTACTGATTATAGATATTGTTTCTACCAGAGGGCAACAAAAAACATACAACAATAATTCAGATTAAGATAAAGAGGTTCATTTAAATTTATTTTTGTACAGCCTTTAATCACAACAGCAGTCGTCTCGGAGGACTTTACACATTTTGCCAACAACAGATCAGAGAAAAAAACAGATTCTTTAGTCGTCAGTATTGCATCATAAGTCCAAATGTGTCCATACAATATTAAACCATACACAAGTATAAGGAAAGGGGGGAGGCATTGCTACATGGTGTTGTCATAGAGACGGTCCAGAGAATGAGCAAGAGGGTCAGATTGGTCAAACAGGACCATGGAGAGGGACCATTGATGGCGGCAAAATGCAGCCCAACAAAAAAACATGTTTTTCTTTCAGAGCTAATTGGCCGGGTGAGGGTGGTCCTCTCTTTTTCTCAGAAGATGTGACAGCGGCAAAAAAGTTGATATGCAAACTAGTGATAGAACCAAACAGTTTTCACTGCTATGAACTAGTTGCATAAATTGTGTTTTTAAAGTTTCAAAGTTGGCTAATCTCACTTTAAACCAGTATCTTTGGGGCTGCGATCAAAAGCAGAGGACACATTTTAAAGTGCACCTTTGCATTTAAATTTGTATGCCAAACACCAAACTTGGTCTTGTGTTTATCCAGGTTAAAACCCGTTCTGTTTAGCTGAAGTATATACAACTGAAGTATTGTATCTACACTACTGTGATTTTAATGTTTCTTTACTCGTTTTTTGTTCTTTGTGTCACTGTGTGTATGAACTGTGCATTACAAACTAACTCGCCTTGTCTCAAATCCTACTTTTCACACCTCCCCTTGTTTTTATTCTGCCTGATAGGAACCAGTCCACACGCTGCCACTTCCCTATCCGTCTCCCCCGGACTCAAAGAGGCCAACGTGTCCTGGGAAGCGGGCTTTGATGGTGGATCCGAGCAGACCTTTTCAGTTTGGTGGGTGGACACACACACACACACAAATAATAATTGTGCTGGTTACTATGGCAGCAATAGAGACTGGTTGGTATTGCTGTATTGATCTCTGAAGCACAGGTTTCATTCATCTGTTATCTCACGGCAACAGCTACAGTAGAAAGCAGGAAGCCCAATACACCACGCGGGCTCGGCTCAATAGGGGGGCAACCGGTAAGTGGCTTATTTGAAGTTGTTAAAAATCGGGCTCGCAGGTAGAGTGTGAAAATGAAAATATAGAGGAGAGAGTCAGGAAAGGTGGTCCACTGAAGCTGTCACGGTCAAGGCGTTCTGTGATATATATGAATGCACCATGAGGAGTTACAGAAGTCTATAATTTCAAAGCTGTTCAGAAGGCTTGAAATTTAGATGTGTGATAAGAAAATACAAGATAATGATGTGTGTTATGTATTCTGACAGGGCTGGAGAATATTCTAACACTCACTCTCATAGCAAAATCTAAATGACTGACATTTCTGAATTTGGGAGAAGGAGTACAGTACCAAAAAACCACATAATAATGATCTGCCTGAAAATATTCTAAAAGTTTTCTCATTGTAAGCGACGGGTCACAGGACAAACTTTTAGTCCCTTAAATGTGAGGACAAGAAGATAAAAATGGTTTGCTTCAGTTTGCAGAGGAACTTCAGTTTGCAGAGGAACCAAAAATAAGTCAAAATGATTCTAAAATTGCAGACTTTGTGAGATATGCTTCTGTGAAGGACGATGGAATAATGAAATAGATCTTGTGCTGTGTTGTAAAAAAAACAAAACAAAGACAGGACTCAATGTATGAAAAATTAAATGATTTCATAATAAAATGTATGAAAATTAAGCTCACAAAAATCCAAGATACAATATAAAGGCCTTTTCTGTTCTTATTGTCCACTACATAATTAATGGAACATTTTGTCCGATTAAAAACATGGGAGTCTATATCCCAAGGTAGCTTACAAGTGAATCCTTAAGGAACTTTTTTTTTTAGAATCTCAATGACAAAAAAAATATGAAGCTCTGGATTTTTGTATACAGTAGCCCTAAATCACAACAGAAGTCGTCTCTGCGGAGGACCCCAGATCAGAGAATAAACCAGTTTGAAACACAGGAAATGCAATAATAACAAAACATTAGGCCATAGGGAGCGGGGTGACCAATGTCCATAAATATCCTTAAATGTCCCGGATCGTCACTGTTCTTAGACCCTGCTGCATTGGCATGAACCAATCAAAAATCCCAGTGGGGCAAAAATTTGACAAACCGTGAGGAGGCCCATGTCCAAAGTGATAGAGGACCACTTAAATCAAGAAAAGCTCCGCCCCCTGGTGAGCTGGTGGAAAACTGAGTGTCGCTGAAGCTCAACTAAGTCCAGCAGTGCTACTTCTGAGTAAAAAAAGGGTAATTGAAAATATGGATGTGGAGTATTTAGGTATTAAGAAATGAAATCTGCCCGGAGAGGGTTAAAATGTAGCGGTGCTGATGTTGGAGTCGGCCATCTGGCTCAGAGCTATCCTGCAGACCTGGTCCCAGCAAAACGGCCTTCCCTTTTTATGCACCATTTAAAGTTACTGCCTGAGCTTGTTTAGTAAGCAGTAAAAAGCAAAAGTTTCCTGGCTGTTGTAAGGCGTGTACAATTTAGGGCTTTGATAAAATCGCATTAGATGAAAACTCATAATCTCTGAGGGAATAACGCTGCGGAGACGTCTATTGTAATCACATTGACATCTCAGTCAGTCTGATATGGAGATAATCCTCAACAAACACTGGGTCGATGCTGGGCCAAAAACTTTCATTTATTTACCTCAGATCGTTACAAATGTAGTGCTGGTTCAAAGTTGTCGAGCGCAAAAGAATACTTCACCATTTCGTTTTGATCCCATGTTTACCTTGGTACTAGTTTGTTGTAGGTAGATTGTTAGGATACATAAGTTAGACAATAGTTAAATGGAAAATGTTTGATGGAAACTTTTGATGGTGTATTTTGCAGAAGAAGGGGTAATAAAAGTGAAAGCAGTGCTGTAATCACACTCTTGACAAGAAATCAATATTTACTTACTTTGCTGATCCATGCTGATCTACCATAACAAATGATATAATACGACTAATATAATGAGACCTATGGATCAAAAATGAGCAGACAAAAAGTCCAAAGAAGCCATGGTTATTATAACAAAAATATGCTAAAATAAAACTAGACTGGACGAGACAAAAACTGGCAGTAGGCCAAAGTATTAATCTAGAGGCAAAAAGGAAAACTAGAAAAAAAACATCAGCAGTAAGTGGAAATGTGTTCCGTTCCTGAATACTGAATACATAACCTAAAATATATTTTGTGTAGTATTCCGTTACATATGATAAAAGTAGTGCCTGTGTGAAGAATACTTAGAGTACTTTTAACTAATATTCTTATGATTTATATTTCTTGTAAATTCATGTTTATCAATACATGTTTAAATAAACCAACATGTTCTTGCTGTTTATTTTTGTGAGACAAGTGAAAGTGCTTCTTGAATCATTAATTAAGAACACGCAAACAAACAAAAAAATCCTTAAAAATATGAAAATGTATGTATTCCTGTTCATTTCAGAAAATTACAGTTACTGAGAAAGAGTATTCAGAATAAAAGTATTGGGTTCTTCTATGCCAGACAATATAAGGTTAGCAATGTTAGCTTAATGTTATTGTCTGGTATAGAAGAACCCAATACTTTTAATTCTATACCAAGAAGACCAGATGATTCTTCCCAAACTAGTATTCTGAATATGTACTGTAAAGGCGATACATGTATTCCATTACTCCACAACACTGGTCTAGATTCTCCTCCCAGCTCCAGGCAGACACAGACATGAGAACACACATGACTGACGTGACTCACTAAATGTATTCACACTCTCCATCTCAGCAACAGCTTCTTTGCTCCACTCGATCTTGATGAGAGAAGCTTTTAAAAGAACGACGCGTCTCGGTTAAGTCCAAACTGTCATCTTCCACGTTTTTTCAAAGGGGCCTTTTCTCTCCCCGCCATTAATAATTTCCATCACCTTTTCAATAGGTGGATAGCAGTGTGCAGCCCGAGGTCAGAAGCAAAGGCTCAGAAGAACACGAAGCCTCATATAATTGCAGTTTGAGTGGCCTGGCTGACGCTCGCTAAACTCTGGAGCCGATGATGAGTCTGAATGTTTAATGCTTTTCTGTCATGTCGAATAAGAGAGATGCAGCACGGGGCTTTCTTGGTAGCCATTATTTCAGAAAAGAAGTTTATTTGTTACCTATGTTTAGTGTCGTGAAAGCGAGGCATGTACAGGTAGAATTGGAATAAAGTTTAAAAGTTAATTTATGTTAAGTTACTTATTATATGCAAAACAAGGTATGTCAAGCCTTTGTCTGTTATAATTTTAATGTTAATGGATCACAATCTATTTTCAAAATATGTTGAAATATGTTTTATTCATTCATTTTATTTTACATGTCATTCCCCTTTCACTCATATATTCAGGGGTGATAAACTGCTACTGTAGCCACAGCTGCCCTGGGGCACACAGGGCAGCACAGAAGTGAAGCAACCCATATGTACTGTACCATCAACCCCTCTGACCACCACCAACCATTTACGTGCACATTCATTCTAGGCAATGTGGGTGAAGTGTCTTGCCTAAGGACACAACAACAAGTCTGGCACATCACAGCCGCCCCACTGTTGAACCATGTGTTTCCAGAGGTCTTCCATAACACTACTATCCAAGCCCAGCCCTGCTTAGCTTCAGAGGTCTGATGGGATCTGGATTTAACCTGCAAAATAGGATCATAAACAAAGCCATAATCATAGCCTATTTTTTTAGTTCTCATTTTTAATAATTTATAAAGCCTATGCACTGTATACTTTTTTTTGGCACGTACATTTCTCAACCCATCGGTATGGCTTTCAGAAAGGGGGTAGTATGTAAAAATGAGCTTCAATTACCTCATAACAAACCTCTCACGGTTTTCAGTTGAATTCACGTTCGGGAAGCACAATCATATCAGCCACCGATAGTGATTGACCGATACCTGCAAAAAGGACATCGAGCTGAAAATACATTTATCCTAGTCTCATGTCAAGAGAATTCAAGAATCAATATTTTGCCTTTTGCAGAAAAAACTACATTGGAATACAAACAGGAGACACCGGGGGCACCAACACCACAAAGCACACACACACACACACACACACAAACACAAAGAATAAAAATAGCGAGACACAGTGAGGCAAATATAAAACTCTTAAAAGCATAGAGCATGTCTTCTGCTTTTCTCTGCGTTTTCACGCTACCTCGCTGTGGCCTAAGGTTATGTCCCTTGGCCCCCTTTCAGAGAGCAGCCACAACCTGCATAAGTGTCCTTTTTACTTTGAATGCCTTGTTTAAATACAGCTAAGCCTCAATTATCATATACAAGTTGGAAGTTGGTGTGTGTCTGTGTTTGCAGGGTGAAGAGGCTGTCCACAGGGGGCAGCGAGGAGAAGCAGGAGTGGTTTTCGGTGCAGGTGCCTCCTTCCTCTGGGACCCAGCTGCAGGTGGAGGGTTTGAGTCCCGCCTCCACATACCAGTTCAGCGTCCTGTCCCACAACAAGATCGGGACCGGACCCTTCAGCGAGATCGTCACGTCCGTCACTCTCGGTCAGTGTGCTCAAAATCGTTATCGTGAAATCTGCATTTAGAAACTTTTCTGTTTGATTAAATAGAGTTAGGGAGACTCAGGTTCATTCATAGTTGTAGAGGTTAGGGTTAGGGTCAGGGGTTATGCATTCATTCATTTTTAACTTAACATTCTCGGATGATGGGTTGACACTAGGTAAACTACTCAGTAACCGTTTGCCCTGTCTATCATCCTGGGGTTTTTATTTTGATATCATCTTTGTAAATCCAGATATGAGCCATGAGGGTTGATTAGAGGGATTGATCCGATGCCCTTATTTGCGGGGAAACTCTTAGAAACACAGACTACAGCTGTGTTATTGGTGACATATAAAGCAGGAGAGAGGACAGGGTAGTGATCAAGTTAAGTGTCTATATGCAGCTTGACTGACAATCTGCCAACCCTAACCCTAATTGGCAATAGGGGTGTGACGATATATCGATTTTTCAATATATCGCGATACTTTCTCCCGCGATTTGATTACTTAAAGATGCATTTCTAAAGGTGCGTTCAGACCAAAAGCTTCAAAAAGCTTTTGACGCGCTTCAGCTGACGCCGGGATAGTTTTGTCATTTTGGTGCTTGAAGCTTTTGACGCGAGTGACGCGCCTGACGCCGGTGGGAGGAGCTTCTCTGTTGTCTGTAGTCAGGACAGCGGTGGATTTTTCAATGAGCAGCGAGCCTTTATTTGTTATATAAAGCAAAATAACGTTGTTGTAGGGCTTCAACAAAACATGTTCTGGGTTCACCACAGACTTGAGAGGCTGCAGTGTTTGCAGAGTTCCGTCATTTGCTCCCGGAGCTGCGTACGGAGGAGTCTCGCTTTCAGCGGCACTTCCGCATGTCACTCGCCCAGTCTGAGTTCTCAAACCCCGGAGCTCGCCTCGCTCTCGCCTCTCCCTGCCTCTCCCCGGCTCTCGCCCGCCCGGAGCTGCCTCGCTCTGAGCCAGACTCATCGTCAGCCTGTTCTTATATTAAATAAACTACGTTTACTACACAGGGGCGACAGTAGCTCAGTTGGTAGAGCATTGGCCTTTGGGCCTGGAGGTTGTGAGTTCGATTCCCACCATGGGACCTACTCCAACTGCTCCCACTGATGACTGCTGTTGTTGTGTCCTTGGGCAAGACACTTAACCCCACATTGCCTGAAGCCCCCCGCTGAAAGATCAAGGCTGTTTCACAATTGACGGAGCAGCCATCTTCCTGTGGACTCACCCCCTGCAGAAGATCAGCGAGGGACTGGTGCTATGAGCGTTGTGTGGCAGCTCTCATTGCCACCCCCCCGACCCAGAAATGGACAAAAGGGTTGAAAATGAAATGAAAAAAAAAAAAACTTTTACTACACAGCATGTGTACAATGATTTTTGTTACTCAGAACGTTACTACTCATATAATATTACTAATAACAATAATGACAATAAAACAGCAGCAGCAGATACATGACTTCTCTTCATGACAGAGACAGACCCTCTGCTGCTGCTGCTCCTCGTCTCCTGATTGGTTGAAGCCCGCGTCAAAGCTTCAAAAGCTCAGCTTTGCTCAGCTTCGGCGTCAAAGGGATTGTTGTGATACGCGAGCGTTTCGCGCGTCAAAAGCTTCAAGTGAGCGCGTATTACGCGCGACCTTTGAAGCTTTTGACGCGCGTCAAGTGACGCCGGGCCCCTCGGCTTCACCTGACGCGCTTCACCATTCACTTTCAATGCAAACCTGACGCTTTTGACGCTGAAGTTAAGTCCGGTGTGAACGCCCCTTCAGTCTCACTTAAACTTCGCCATGTGCTGAATAAAAGGGAGGAGTTTTAAGCCCTGGACTGCCACCTGAACGTGGTGGGGGTGGGGATTTTTGACGCTCTGCTATACATTTTCGGTTGGAGAACGTGAACCATTTGTTGAGAGTACTTGAACGGGACAATGGAGGAAATCAAAGAATGTCCACAAAAGTTCAATCTGTGTAGAGCTTTCACCTTTGCGTTTCAAAATAGTCATTTTATAAACCAGTTTGTGATTGACCTTCACATAATCTCACAACAGGTGTTCTGGTAATACTGAAGAAATGGCAAATCAGTGTGTAGAGTAGAAAAGTATTTTGAGTTTGAAATTAATGAAACAAAGGAAAAAATCAGTTCCTTGAAATATTATTGTGAATTCAACACGGTCAGACTTTCACATTCTTCCCAAGCTATGACCTTTCTGCTGTCACCTCCAGACTCTCTCTCATAACCCTGTTGAAACCACGAACGCCATAATATTACACACATGAACGGGCTTTAACATCTGAATGCGTCTTATAGTTGATATATGTTTTCTTACATATTTTGTCTAAACATTTATTGTTTATCTCTGCACTGAAAACTTTACAGAAATGTGTATTAATGTGTAGATTGTTCTGGTTAAAGCTGGGGTTCCCATCTGTTTAACTCATTAAAATAATGTAAAAAAATAAATTAAAAAATTGGACGGAAAGAGTATTTTCAACAAATCAGATCACAAGTTCTCTTCACGAAAACTTGTAATTTTTTGCTCATGTTTGTTTTGTATCGCGTGATTACGTCCGTTAATATATACAGTCTATGAGGCAGGCACAGGGAGAACATGCAAACTCCATACAGAACGACCTGGAGGTGGAATTGAACCCATGACCTACTTGCTGTGAAGAACGAGCGCTAACTGCTACGCTGCCATGCCACCCATTGAGTTCACATTTTTTCGATCCATTATAGAAGTAAATAAACTTTGTAGAAAAACACAGATATTTTTTCATATATTTGAATAGATAACAGTGAAAGCGTATAAAAGACATTCAAAAATCATAACGTTTTTGTATTTCTTGTCAATAATTACATCAGTATTTTCCGTGCTTTCCCTAAGAACTCAATCTTTAAAAGAAACAGGAAGTAAAAACCTTGCTTCGACTTTTCTGCCTTTCTCCCCCAAACACACTACACTGCGATGGAGCCCCAGGGAGACATTAATTGCTTTTGCTCGGGCTCGTGGATCAGATATGTTTGTCACCTCAGCGCCTTCATTTGAACGCAGCCAAACGCATAAACAGAATGATGCGCTTGTTGTAGTGTTTGTCTTTTTGGTTATCGGCCACCGCCTTCCTCTCCATCGTCTTCTATCAGACACACCGCTTTAATAAACTCCCGCGGGTCGGATTGTTTTTCAAGGTGACTCCTCAAAACTTCCTTTCATATAACAGTAACTTCTACCTGTGTTGTCCCCGTACGTTTCTTTAACATTAATGGATAAACTTAGAATCGATTATTACTGTCACAAAGGTTTTCCTTTTTTGAGTTTCAGACGCTCGGAAATGATGTCTTTAACAGCCTGTTCCAGTTCCTGCCAATATCCAGTAACTTTTCCACTAGAGAAGAGCGAGCGCTGGTTTCCATAGCAACACACCGTTTACCGTCAGCAGTTAAAATTAGCATTAGCCTTTTAACAAACTGAGTGAAGGTAAAAAGTAACCCTATAAATAATAAATACCTAGTTTTAATAAATCTGGTGAAAGAGACACAGGTGGAGGGATTCCATTTTAGAATTCAGCGTTATGTCCTGTATAGTTTGAAATATTTTCTTCAAATATAGTCACAAACCATCACTTGGCTGATGTCTAACTATTATCAACATATATCCCCACAAACTTTACGATTCTGCCTAACTTTTATCGCTGCACTATTGAAGGTTTGCCTGTGGTTTGGTGACATCACAGCCAAAGAAAGGAGAGCTCTAAACAAGGTGCTCCGCTCTGAAAGAGGACTGTGAGCTGTGAGCTGTCTGTTCTGGAGGCTCTTTATGAATCATAATCAAGGACTCTTTAGGTCATCCTGGGAAATATTTGTATTATCTCTTTCTGACTGCTGCACTGAGCCAAAGCAATTTCCAAGTCTGTGACTTCCTGTTACTGTTAGAATAGACTTTAAAACAGCTCTGCTTGTGTACAAGTCTCTCCATGGCCTCGCACCAAAATATATTAGTGACATGTTAGTACCATATGAACCAGCCCGGACTCTGACGAGCACAGGGACTGGACTCCTGTTAGTGCCCAGAGTCAGAACTAAACATGGGGAGGCTGCTTTTCAGATTCATGCTGCTAAAATCTGGAACAATCTTCCTGAAGATGTGAGACAGGCCTCCTCTCTGACAATGTTTAAAACCAGGTTAAAAACGGTGCTGTTTAGCTGTGCATACAACTGAGGGATTTTATATTTTTATCTTTCGTTTTAATGTTCTGTGATTATTTATGATTTTAATGCTATCTTGTTCAGCACTTTGAGTTGCCTTGTGTATGAATTGTGCTATACAAATAAACTTGCCTTGCCTTGCCTTGCCTTACTTACGTGGCAATAAAAATGATTCTGATTCTGATTAATTGATTATTTTCTCTTCTCTCAGATGCCTGGCCGAGGAGGAGCTCTCGCCTGCAGCCTCCCTCGGCTCTGTGGGCCTCCCGTGACCGCGCTGGGGTCCTCCTGCATTGGGCCCCTCCCCTGGACCAGTCCCCGCCAGTCTGGGCCTATGTGCTGCAGTCTCGTGCGGAGGAGGAGGCAGAGTGGGTGAACGTGGACCAGAATGTCAGCTCCAACAGCAGTGAGATGGTGGTGCCCGGCCTGCGCAAGGTAAGGCTCCCACAGAGACCAATCACCGTTCCCTCTACACGGCCCCTGGAGGACTGGGGCTCCTCAAAAACACAATTATGTACGGATAGAAGATGGCACATACACTAAGGGCTGGAGTGGGAGTGATTTTCAGCCCCTATAAGTGCCAGCCGCTAACTATTTTATGTAACTTCAAACAACTAGTCCATGGCCTAAACAAAAGACGGATAACAATACAGTGAAAAACTACTACTAATGTTCAGTAAGTATCGGTGAATAAACAAAGAAATACAGTGGTAAAATATTATGAAAATATTTAATTTGAAATAATATTGAAAACCACATCAAATTAGTGAAATGATGCAAACAAAATAATAATAAACAGTTTTCAGTCATTTACACATAGAAAACATCCAAACCGGATTTATTGCTGAAGCCAGGGTAAACCAGTAGAATTGATAAGAATAGAATAAAATAACTTTTATTTTCTATATGGGTCGTGATGACAGAAATATGTATTTGCCTTGAAAGTCAAGCACACAATAATATTCATTGTGTCTGATGTATTTATTTAGGATTTTTCATCAAGCAAATTGTTTAGAAAAATTACAGTAGGGGAGCATGGATAGATTTTGGCAATTTTTGATTAGAACAACTGGACCCAGCCCCAAAAGGTTAGCATTTTAGCTTATGGTTGCTCGTAAACCCAGTAAAATAGTGTTCTGTGTCCGTCCTTAACTATATGCAGTGGTTATAATTGGTTGGAGAGCTGTGTCTGCCCCCACTTTGAACACCTCGCTCTTTTCCTCCATATAGAATGTCCTTAAGTAGTCCTTGAGAGCAGTCCCCGCCCTCCACCGCCTCCTTATCTGTCTTCACCATTATGCATACGACATGTCAGTCATCACTTCCATCCATCCAATCTGCGGTCCCTGTACCCTCAGGTCTACAACGCACATTCAAATACACTTTATTAGCATTGCAGGCACAGCGCGGGTTGACAAAGTGCGGTTTCACGTGGGACGATTCCTACGAGCTCATCATGTGTATGTGTGTGTGTGTGTGTGTGTGTGTGTGCAGGACCGTGTCTACCAGTTGCGCCTCCTGTCCCGGCGCGGGGAGGCGCTGAGCGAGCCAAGTCCATCCGTCAATGTCACCACTGTGGGTAGGTGTACAAGCGAATCTCACCCCAACCTCCCGTCCATACCTGTCTCCTGCTCCTTCTACTTCATTTAATTCCAGATGTGATGATCAAATTTGGTATTACGCGTTATTTTTGGCCATTACAAACTAAAATGAAACTATTTACATCTTCAGTAGAAACTATATTGTGAAACCGGTAATATATGCAAGATGGCTGAGTGGTTAGCAAGATCCTGGGTTAGGGATAGGAACAGCCTGTTCGGAGTGGAATTTGCATGTTCTCCCCGTGTCAATGCAAGTTTCCTCTGGGCGCTCTGGATTTCCTCCACCACTAAAAAAATGACATTCATTAAATGTCAATGAAAAACAATGCTATTAGCCTGCTCTACCCTCATGCTACCACCAGAGGGAGGTGTAAATTTTTTTAAATATTTTTCCAAATTTGTAAAGAAAGAGTGTGTGTATGTCATCATGGTACAATGACATTATACTACTACAGGACAGGAACTTTTAGACAAGTGTGTGCAGGAGATTTGTTAATGATATGTTTTTGATGTAGGAATAATGTTGCAAAATGGCTAAAAGCTCAAAATGGTCGATAATATGCCTCCTTTAAAGACAACATTTTCTGCTTTCATCTGCCACACACTGCAGTTCAAAAGTCACCCAGACAATGCATGTTCTCCACAGATTTATTCTCGTGTTCGGATAATTGCTCTAAGGTTTTCTATTCATCAATTTGCCTTTTGACGAGCAATCACAATGAGCACAATGAGCTGTAGAAACGCTGGAGTGAAGGTCGCTGGGAAGGATCCTCTGTACAGCCTTGGTTTTATGATAAAAGAAAGAAGACCTCTGACCCAGGAAGGCAGGGTTCTTTTAAATAACAAAATACGTAAGATTAGGGTTTGAGTATTGACCAAAAAGATAAGATCACATCAATATGTATGTGACTCTAACAAGATTTAAGATTTAAGTAGAATTATTTTCCTACTACTATTGTTGAAATCTTTTTAGTACATGCCATTGTTCTATTCCCACAAGGGGTCCTCAAGGCCAACCCAAACAATACCAAAACAACAAGCACAATTAAATTAAACCTACAAATATTTGGTTGAGATTACCACATTCATCAAATTAGGAATCAAATAAGTGAATTGTGTAATTTTAGGTAAAACAAAAAGCAAAAAAGAAAAATAATCTTTGAAATTAACTGAAAAGGCACTGGTGGGACTTGAAAAAAAAAGCCTGTTTGCAAGTCAAATGCTTTGACCTGCTAAGCTACAGCGCCACTTACAGAGAGCCTTCAAATCCAAATGCGAGGAAACTTTAGTGAAATAATCTTAACCTAAAAGCAAGACCACCTCAAAGGGAACTGCAATACCAGATAGCACAAATCTTGTCACTATCTTATTCCCACAGGAAGGGTCAAAACTGTGCCATAACAAAAAGCAGTTGAGAATTTAATTAAACCTACAAATATTTGCTTACAATTACTAAATGAATTGTAAGCAATTGTAAATGTAGAAGTTTTCACTGGTCGTCCCCTGAAGATTATCTTTGATCAATCATGGGTTCTTGGTGCAGAAGAATTTGCGAACGACTGCATTAGCTGTTGTATCGGGCTGCTACGGTGAAGAGGGAGCTTTGGGAGTTTTGGGTTTTGACAGAAAAGATGAGATCTCTGAGTGGCTGGGCGCTATAGGGCGAGGAACTCCGTTAGAGTTAGAAAGAGAAGCCAGTTGAGAAAGCTATGGTATCATTATTCTCTCATAATGTTGTCTAGAAGTGGTGAGAATATTTAAAAACACATGCAGGATGTTGGCCAGTAGAAAGCACTTTCAGACATAAGAATATCACTGCAAAAAATGATAAAATATGAGGTAATAATTGCTTGGATTGAGTGTTTTTATCTTATTAATTGCGTAAATTCTGACTGTCTTAAAACAATATTTGGCAACGGGACAAGCCTTATTTCAATAATTATCGCATTTTTTCTCATTCCAAGGATGATATTTCTTGTATCTTTTTAAAACAAGACCATTTTGTTTATCCCATTGGCAAATCTGGTTTGAAGACAACATAACAAGACAACATCCATTAAGATGGATTTAGCCAAATTTGAGATTATTGAACTTATTTTTCATCACTTTTTGCAATGTGGCAGCTTTGGGAATCTCATCACTATAAAATCATAGTTTGGGAAAACATTTGGACATATTCTCCTCATTCAAAAACTGCTTCTTTCCCATAGACTCGCCCTGGCACCTGCTCCAACTGAAGCAGAATTTCAAACCACTAACGCCGTGTTACTATCATATCGTGACATCTGATTTTCTGTAAAAACCTTGCATACATATTGCAAATTCTTAGGAAAACTGATCTGGAGATAAGGCCACGCTGCTCTCGGGCTGTTATCTGATGAAACATTCATGCTGCATTTGCATAGAGAACACACGCTCAAATCTGCTGTTTTTTTCACACTCACTCCCAGTTATTAGTGGAGCTATTTCTTCTTGTCAGACATGTAACGGACAGCGCTCCCCCGGGGACCTGCTCTAATTCTGCAGTGGGAAACAAAAGGACATGAAAAAACAGGGGGGAAAAAGGGCAATCCTAAGAAAGTAAGTGGTGAGGATGTGTGCCGACAGGAGGCCGGGGAAAAGCAGTGACACGTATAGTATGATGTGAACAATGGTCTATATCACGCAGGTCCAAACTAAGGCCCGGGGGCGATTTACGGTCTTCTCTGTCATTTTATGTGGCCCTCTACTTTGCTGACAAAAAGTAGTCTTTAAGATCATGCAAACCAGTTCACAGAGTTATACTACCAGCATGCTATATCTCCTAATGTATAACCGCTAGAATTCAACAATTAATATACTTTTACATATGGACAAATGGACAACTCCCCGTGCTATTTTAAACATTTCTTCTTCTTCTGATGTGGAGTTAAAGCTGTAATGAGACAGATTGACCTTTTTGAGAATCCAAATTTAACCACCGACAATAGATACGTGCGCAAAAGAAGATGACATTATTTTCCTATACAGTATACTCGCCATAACTAAAGGTTGCTGTTATAAATCAGTCCATATTCACTCCAAATATGAATCTTTTTAACATTATACAGAAATATTGGTGAAACACTTTTGTTAAACTTGGATCATTTCTCTTGAATATTCATCTCTTGAACTTTTATGAGATTTTCTTTTATTCCATACTATTTTTATTCACTTATGTAAATCCAATTCCACAAATAAAGCCCAATTACAGCATAGAAAGGGCTGGTGAATGCATCTTCTTTTATTAAGTTGTCCTTGAAAAAATACCAACGTCGCTCTAGTATTCATTCAAGGCACAATGTATGTCCCCAAATGCAGCTTAAAATCCTTGTTTTCTTTCAAACTTAAACAAAAGTGGATCAAATCGACCTAGACCAGGGGTGTCATACTGGTTCCAAAGGAATGGCTGCAGGTTTTAACTCCAACCGAGCAGGAGCACATCCGACTCCATCCATTTCCTCAGGTCTCCAGGTTAAAACTGGTCTCACTAGCGCCCTCTAGTGCATTATGGAAGGTGGGATAGTGACCATTGGCCTCCCACACAATCCTCCCACCACTACACACCTGTGCGTGTGCTGATCAGCTTTAAAAGTTCCTCTGTCTTGCCGAAACCCGTCTCCTCCCCTTCCCACCTCAACAGTTGGGAAAGAATTGGGAAAATGTCCTTGCCTCCTCAATTCTTCTTCCATCCAAATCACTATTGAAATCCCTCCTGCATCCGTCAAGATTTTTATTATATATTGAGTGTAATTGAAAAAACTATATCCAACATGTCCATACGTGTGGTTTGATACCATACTCTACGTCTGTGTGGTCTGCACGGCTAACCATGCCGTATCCAAGAGACTCTGGTGTAATATTAGTCTATTCTGTCAATAGTTTTGTCTTTATGCTTTATATCATTGTCCATCTGTGCTGTTGCAGGTATGGATATGTACGCCTCCACGTCCCGCCTCCTGGAATTCGGACCTGAGCCCTTATTGGCTGGGGTTCTTGGGGGCGTGGCTTTCATGTGTCTGGCGCTGGTTGCTCTTCTGGGTGTCGCGTGTCTGATAAGCCACAAGAGGGAGCGTCGGCGCCATCAGAGGAGAGAAGGTAAAATACACGGGACCTTTATTAACACTGCAACTGATTTATAAAGGTTTTTTCTTTCACAAGTATCGCTACTTTCCTAGAGAAGGGGTTATAGGGCCTTGGTTATAAAGGTTGCGTACTTACAAAAAATTTACGTACGTCACTTTCCATGTTAAGTTTGTAATCTATGAAAAGAAAACTTATTTGGTCAAAATAAAAATAAAAACTGCATATTATAGTGTGATTCAGAAACAATAGAGTAGTAGTAAGTAATCTTTATTTAAGCAAGTAATCTTTATTTATATACCGCCTTTTCACTGCACATCGGAGTCTCAAAGCGGTTTACAATTGTGATTTTTGGGAGTGGAGGTGCCAGTACAGGAGGCACATGCCAGACCTATTGTACATATTTTTAGTGGCTAAAAAGATGAATAGAATTAGTACATTTGATGGATTTTTTGATTTGTGCTTATGTTAGACTATATTGATGGACAATACTAACCCTCGAGCTCAATGAAGCCCAGTAGGGAAGTCCTTTCGGTTTTGCCCCACTTCGCTTTGGTTCCTATTGACTTTTAGGAAATTGAGCATAAGCATTGCTCTCATAATAGTGAACTTGCGAGGGCCGTTAGACGCCACTTGCAGCTATAATTGTCATATTGTCTTTGTAAATCTGAGCCTTATAAACCATAAAGTTTGACCAATCAGAGGCCTTCATTCTCGGGGGAAGCTTCCAGATGTGTTACGGTGCGATTGTAATCGTGTCAGAAAAAATACCAATATTACTATTAGTCTCTGGTGCATACATAAAGAAATCTACTGTGATCTACGTTTTTTCTTCTCGTTATCAGAAAAGGAAGGTTTTTTATTTTGCAAAATGTATGCTTTTTTTTTTTCTAATCTTTAAACCAACAATAATATGTAATATATACAATACGTCTTGTTTTTTATTACCAGTATTTGTACATTGTCAGAGTAGGATATAAAATGCTCCGTTTCACCTCGAGAGCTGTTTTTACTCTGCATCTGCTCTGCGAAAACCCTAATTTCGCTTGACATCATGAATAAATCTGGTCCAGCCTTTAATTTGTGTGTATCATGTATTGAATGAATATTGCATTAATCTCGGTGCCTCCCTGGATTTTTTAAAAAGTAAACACAATCTGAAATAGTGGAGATTGCTGGCCTGTTTTACTGGCTTCAAATTTTAATGCTTTATAATTAATTAATTCCCCACTTCCCCTGTTGATTGCAAGCACTTCTTTTAGCCACTCATTAAGACTAAGATCATGATTAGTGTTTTAAATGCGTTCAAACAACGGTAACAAGCTATTAGATTATTGAAATTGTTTCTAAGACATTTTGAATCCCTAATCAATCAACATTATAGATTGATAGATAGATAGATAGATACTTTATTGATCCCCAAAGGAGAAATTAGGTGTCCAGCAGCAGAAGACTCATTCAGACAGCCGAAGGAACAAAATATATTTTTATTATATCATTATAACGAAGTCTTGGCTCATGCAATTTTGTATTTGATGATTATATATTGTACAAGTTTTATTTGTACATTATGGCAGATTGCAACCTATTGTATCTTCTCAAAGTTATTCTACATGGAAAATTAATTGCAGAAATAAAAAGGGCCCATACAATGAGTCTTTCGAATCTATGCCTTGTACACACAGAGGCAGATTTGCTTTTACTGTTTTTATAATAGTACTGCAATCTGACCCTTTGTTGCCAGTAACTTACCTGTATGTTCAGCAGACACACACTGGCACAGACACACACACACACACACACAGACACATACACACACACAAACACACACGCACACATACACATGCACATATACACACACAGGCAGACACAGGCAGACACAGGCACACACGTACATGCACATACACACACAGACAGACACAGACAAACACACAAACAAACACATGCAGAGACACGCACATACACACACGCACACGTACGCAGACACACACAGGCAGACACAGACAGACGCATACACACACACACACACACACAAGCAGACACAGACACGCACACACATACATACACATACACAGACAGACACACACCCACACATGAACACACACACACAAGCAGACACACACAGGTAGACACAGACAGACACATACACACACAAGCAGACACAGACACGCACATACACATACATATGCAGACACACACAGACAGACACACAGACAAACACATGGACAGACGCGCACATACACACATACGCAGACACACACAGACAGACACAGACAGACACAGGCACACACGCACATACACACACATGCACATACACACACAGGCAGACACAGACAAACACACAAAAAAACACATGCAGAGACACGCACATACGCACAGGTACGCAGACACACACAGTCACACACAGGCAGACACAGACAGACATACACACACACACACACGAACACACAGACACGCACGCACATACACACACATACGCAGACACACACAAGCAGACACAGACAGACACACACGCACACAGTTGCTCCTCTGGCTCTGATCACTGAATATTTTATGTTTTAGCATGAATATTTTGGCTTCATATCCGTTTCTTGTGTAACTAAGAATAAATCAGTTTTAACATTTGATTAGACAGCCCCATTTAGGACGTCTTGATCTTTTGTCCAGGATCCTGCAGATACTCACTCTATTCAACGTGATTGTATTGCTCCACAGTTTAGTCCCTCGCTATAACATGGTTCATAACTCAACAACAAACATCAGTTTCAACAGTTATCTTTATTTAAAGGTCCCATATTTCACTTTTCTTTGTGTTTCACAGTCTATCCTAAGCACACGTGTGATAATTATTTGGTAGAAGCAGGACTCGGGAGAGAGGTTGCACGCGCTGATTCGTTCTGTTGATTTCTTCCCATCTCAATCACCTGTTGCTTGATGCTACGTCACAAACTGTTGCTACGTCACAAATTGAACCGAGGCGTTTTGCTGCCTTGAGATTGAAAGAGAAAGATCGCTCTCCAACTAAAGCATGAAGGAATCAATGAAAAAACCACTTTGGGCGTGTGTATGAAGGCCAAATAGCACTTTAATGACGTTTAAAGCATAGACAAGTCAAAAGCTTAATACGGGCCCTTTTAAAGTTAGAGGAATTTTTTTTACACTGCACAGATTAGTCAGTCCTGCTCCTATTCCTCCGTGCTGTATCCTCTGCAGCTGTAATTTCAGTGTATGCACGGATTTTGACAGCTGCAGCAGCACTCAGACCTACAACAAACAAGTTTAATGTCTCCACAATCCCACTTCATCAGTCGTGATTTCAGGTGTTTAGAAAAGTGTGTAAGGTTTGTGATGAGAAGTTTTACAGCCTTTTAAAAGCTTATTCTTCTTGCTGTGTGTTATTTTTAAACGTCATTTTAAACAAGGGACCACTGTAATTGGTTTTACTGTCATTTTAATTAGCAGTGAAAAACTCATGCATTTTATAATTTGGAGCAATTCAGCGGGAAGCCAAAGAGCGACATGTAACGTGACAGCATTTGGGAACCTCTAATCACACTCGACTTAACACACCCATTAGCAAATAGCATTATAAACACCTCCATATTGATTACTACACGCATCTATCACAACCCACGTCACGCTCTGGCTGTCTTCCTCTCGTCCAGTCGGTCTGCATTATTGATTTAGTTGACATTTTGTGCTAATTTCCCTAATTCCTCATTAGCGTCGGGTGAATGTAAATGTAATTCACTTTCCGAACATGAGCACCTCGGTCTTCTATTTGGGCCGGAGCTGTTTTACATGTGATCAGTGGTTTCATAATGAGTCCCATCCTGTCCTTGTGTCTCCCTTTCAGACGTCCCTCCCTCCATCTACAAACACTCCCCTCCCATGTAAGTACCCACAATGCATTTCATCCTTGTTTCTTTCAGTTCTCGTGCTTTAGTTTAGATTACCTACATGCTCTACCTTTCTGTTTTCTTCAAGGTGTATAGGAGGATTTGCCCAAATTTTAAGAAAAAACAGCCCTCATTCTTATTTTACGAGCACGTATCCCCAGAATGATTGACAAATGGGAGTACCAATAGTCTTGATGATCCACCCAGAAGTAGCAAATCCCCCAATATACCTTTAATATAAAATCTGACCGAGTTTGCACTTCTTCTTGTCTTTAGAGGTCGATTCATGCTTGTTTTCAGTGCTCTTTGTACATAATATAATATTGAACTTAAAGCTGGGGTACGTAACTTAGTACATGATATATGTTGTATATCCCAACAGAGTCTTGTAAAAGTAAAATGTTGTGCACAAATCAGACCACACCATGCTGTCTTCACTGTTTTCTTTTGGCCTGGGAGTCACTCTTTGAGGCTTTGGGCTGAGCGCTGATTGAACTGAGTGAAACTGATCTTTTTCACTTTTCTCTCTGAAAAAGCTCTAAAATGTGACAGAGGCCAAAAATACAATCAATATAGATTACAGTTTTGAAAGTGAGGAACTAGTCATATGGATTCTCTTACAGATTTGTTTGCTTAGAGATGAAAGCATACAAATAGACCTCCTGGCTCTGGAGCAGCACGACATTCGGAAACAAAACCAATTAGACAATTTGTCACAACCAATAAACTCTTGTCATCTCACTCAGTACAGACTGTGACCAATTACACATTATTTTGGATGGTGTTTTAGTTTGGTTGTGAAATTCTTGTCATTCTTAAATTTGTTTCAGCAGTTCATTTAGTCATTTCTTATTGTAAAATCCTTAAGTCAGCCAAATACATGACACAAAAAAACTGAAATTGGTTTTGATTATTATTTTTCTTTCCTTTCCACATTTCTTTCCTGCTTGCCATTTATTACTTCCTTACTATAGTCATCACTTCTCCCATACTTCCTAAAGGAAACATATTTGCAAAATCGCCTTCTCTTTCTCTTTTTGACCCATGTTCCTCCTAATAACACAGATCTGGAGTTGAGTTTAGATCCATCCACGCTGTTATCAGTAACATGTAACTCGACCTCTCTCCGCCCGTCTACAGCTCCCGTCTCAGTCCTGTCATTGTATGATATCATTGTAAATTGTATGGCATCACACAGTTTTCTGCCTTTTAAAACAAAAGTATTGGCAATAAATTAGTTATTTACAATCTCATGAAGTGGTTGCAGCTATTAATTTTCAAATTTGGAAATAAAAAAAATACTTGCGGTAGCATAGGGAGTTACAGGTAATATTAGTAACATTAGTATGCAAATAGTTAGTGCAAAAAGTAATTTTAGTATGTGACACTAATATGCAACATTCAAAATTTCAAAGTTTCTGCAATAATCCTGTTCACTTTCTACACTCCTTTCCCATTATAGTAAATTAAACAGGTGAAACTGAAATGTTGACAAATGGCTCACAGCTTCCCCAAACAATAGTGAATTTTGAAAATGGGCTGTATGTCTAATTTTAAGTTGAACAAACTTGAATCAACCAAATTTCTCCTATATGTCATTCCCTCACATTTCTTTTTTTAATTATTTAAATCCTCTATTTTTGTCCCTCTCCTCCCTCTCACAGAAAGACCTCAGGTGGTGGCAGTCCAGACAGTATGCTGAAGAAAACGCTCCTCCCGTCCACCAACCTCTACCCCACCACCTCCTCCACCTCCTCCTGTGCCACGGACTGCTCCTCGTACAGCGCCCAGAACAAGCGCCAATCCTTCTCCAGGGCCAGCCTCAACAGAACCAGCTCCTCTCCCGTTTCTCACGCCATCGAAATGATCTCACGCGGTCCCGATGGCCGGTTCCTCACGTCAGAGTACGAAACATTGAGCATTGACAGCAAAAAAGAGTACGACCTTCAAGAGCGAAGATCTCTCTCTCTGAACTCGGAATGCGATGATCAGAAAGAATCTGCTTACGTTCTGTCTGTTGACCTGCCACCATGTAAACCAGTGCAGTCTACACCTTTAAACCACATTTATCCTTTGATTCAAGTCCATAAACCCACTTACGAAGGCCTACCTGACTTTTCCAGTCTGTGTTCCAACAGTAGCTTGGCAACCCTCCCACACCCAAGTCCATCATTCCCAGTCCTGCCTCATATACGATCCGGGTTCGGTCAACCGGCAACTACAGCGAGTTCGTTGGTTCTTCAAATGGAGCACGAAAGAGAGACTGGAAATCTCAGCCGGTGCTTGAAACTTGCGCAAGAGCGAGAAGAGCTGGAGAGGGAGTTGAGGAGATACACGCAAAACGAGGATTTCGAAGTCGATTCTGTGTGGGAATGTCGGAGCAACACGTTACCGCACAAAGCTAGCTCACAGCAGCATCCTGGTTCCATCTCCTCTGCCTCACTGCACTGGGAAAGCCACCGTCTCGCCTCCCAGCTTCCCACTCCGTTGCCGCATTGCTTTGGTTCTGTGAGTCCGTCTTGTTTTCAGAAAGAGCGTCTGGCGCGCACCCCTTCAAGCCATGAGGAGGCAGAGCGCTTTTGTCAAAATGGAAGATTAACTCTCCCACGTATGCCGTCACAGAGACAAAGGGTTGAAGCGTTGCCAGAGGGTTCGGATAAATCCACAAATTATTTCAATGCAAAAATCAACTTGCGCGATTCTTGGTATGAAGCGCAGAGACCAAACAATCACAGCTTTACAATGCTGCCTTTGCAAAGTGAGCAATACCCTCAAAGATGTCATTCGGTGATTGGTATGTTGCCAAGTTCTTCAACAATTCCAAATGAAGATGTTGAGATGAGCGTGGATGATCCCATTTTGGGTAGACTTCAAGATTCAGCCCAAAAGCCGATGTTGCACCAAAGAATTGCGTCCCACGTGCAAAACGGCTGCGCACTATCCAGCAAAGAGCAGTTCCACACCATACGGAGGAGTAAAAGCTTAAACAGCCGCAGTCCAGTTCGTAAATGCGAAGACGCCAAAAGGCCTGTGTCTCCGCCAGCGACGCAACGTGAAAGCTGGGCAAGAAATCTGGTAAAAAGTCAAGAATCGAAGCGAAGGAGTCAAAGTTTAGACTCAAGAAGGCGGAAAGACATCAACTTCTTACCTCCTGACGCGTGGGTAAATTCACTAAGCCAGGAAAACTTTGCTGACCTCGCTCCACGCAGACCTGCATCGCTCGTTTGGGAGACTCAAAGCTTGTCAGAAAGAGCAAAATCTCCTGCAAACTCCCATCGAATGCATATGAATCCTCCTTTACAAAGACCAATAACAACCAACCACTCATCCAATGGGAATTGTGAGCCCAGACGGGACAGAACAACACAAGATTACAATTACAAGGCCATGAAGGCTGCGGGCCGTTACTTAGACGCAATTAAGAGTCCATATTTGGAAGATGACGGGAGATATATTGAGTATGAAGGAGATGAGGAAGGGTTCAAAGGAGTGCAACATTCGGGGAGTTACAGCAGCTACGCCAGCAGCGGTAGAGGGAGCATGGACCCACCCAATCACAGGCTGTCGCTCTGTCACATGTCCCCCACCCCGCGGGAGTCACCGGCCCGGATGGAGGACAAGATCAACGGGCACAAGATCAACGGGCATATCGATCACAGGTGAATACTTTTGCTTAGTGAATATCAGGCCCTTCTTAAAAATCATCTTGTAGAATTGTTTAAAATATAATATAGTTCTGTATTTGTGTATTCTAAATCATTAGTTTGAAGCATGGAAGTGTAGGATCTGTTTAGCATTCTTATGGATGGAAGTCAGGGACGTATTTTCTTCTGTGTTTGTTTTTTCCCGTTGTAGGCCACAGTATAACCAAAATATTGAGTGAATTGTTCAGTATTAGCTGTAGCTGTGAAAATAGAGAAGAATCTTTTCTATAAGCCGGATCTTTTGTTTTAGCCAGATATGTCCAGTCCTGTCGGCGAAAGTCACTATAAGCCCTCTGTGTCATTTTATTTGGCCGTTTGCCTTGCGAGTTCACAATGTCATCCAGGCAACTTAAGCTCTGACAGTAAAGGCTGCACCTCGCTTGAAAACTCAGAAACTCTTGGATCCAGTGGCTAACTTTGCTTGACTACACGATCAATAAATCTGAATATGGTACAGTTAAGGAAGTAAACATTTGTCATTTCAATGCAAATAAAAATTGACCTCATTTTAAACCAATGCCCAATTTGAAGACACAGTTGTCGGATCCTGGACTTTGTTTGGCTAGCCGCTAAAGCAAAGTGCGTTTTTGATTTTCAAATACAAAGCTGGTAATAAAATAAACTTTTGTGTCCTTCAGCAAACTTTAGCTGAAATGTTTTTTCATCAATCAATCACATTCAGCCAAAAACAAGCAAGATACAAAATACACAGTTTGAAAAGAGGTTTGGTGAAGCAGCTTCTTTTTTTAGCCCAAAAACACACATGCATACAATACACAGGTCCAAATACTCTCTGACCAATACGGATGGGTCTTGTACCTTATTTTAAAGATCAGTCGGCTGGCCCTGCCCTGGTCAGATTTACTAAAACGTATAGACAGCCCTGGTGTATGAGTCTGCTGATGTCCCAATAAAAATATACATAATTCCTTTAAAGATTTTTTTGTTATCCTAGGGCAGGGGTCTCCAACTTTTTCAATCTGAGAGCTACTTTCATACAAAACAAGAGGCAGAGAGCAACTCCTTTTTGTAGTCATAATAAAAATCAATCTAATTGTTATGACAAAACCTGGAGAACACATGTAAAATATACCATAATACTGTATAACCCTATAGTTATACTTATAATACATATGAAATGACTCAAAATGTATTCATTCAAGATCATTTGTTAAATTCTTAATCTTTTGGCGAGCTACCTGAAAGGAGCTCCCGAGCCACAGGTTGGAGACCCCTGTCCTCGGGGCATCATAGAGCCAGGTTTTCATCATAGATCTATACTTCAGTTTCAATCAGGTGTGTGTTGTGTATTGAAAAATGGCTATGCTTAACCATCAAGTAAAAAAGAATACGTATTGAATCATGAACAACATCTGTGCAATGATTAAACTATTATCAGAATGTAAAAAGATAAAAATAACTGCCATACATTTTAACACCTGTATTTTTTTGTTTTAACTGAGAATAACAAATTTATTGCAGACTTCTGTTAAGTATAAGATCTGAAGTGATTATATTGCAAAAGACTGTAATTCCAGTGGCAAGGACACACCTGAACAGAATGTACTTGTGCCAAAGTGGATCTCATTCTAATCTACAGAAACGTAGGATGTGCAAATGCAGCACTGTGGGTCTGGAACAGTGCGTCTTCAACACCTTCATCTTTGAAATAAAAAAGTATTACATCGTAAACTTTTTTGTTTGTTTTTCAGCCACTCCAGGAGGAAAGAGTCCGTTGATGAGAACTATGAGTGGGACGCAGCAGACGCGTGCTCGCAGGCCGCAGACAACGAAGGTGAGAGGCGCCTGTTCTTTGTGTGATTTATTAATATCACAGCGAACCAAAAAGTTTCATGTGTGATCACCGGGTACTTCAGGACAATACAGTTTTAATTCCTCCCTCACTTGATTGATTTTGGGGAGCTCAGTTTGGTGTCGATTATACAAAGTTCACCATGGTAACGGACAGGGGTGTGAGCGTTTATTGACAAAAACAGAGCGATCAGAGAGTTGCCATAGTGATTCTACATACCTCCTCACCTTCTCTGTGGGACGTGTGGGAGGAATCTGCGGGACTCCACCTTCGATCCCCTCTCGTTGCCCTGTTGCCCCCCTGCTCCTGCTCCCTGTGAGGCTTTAGAACAGATCTAGGCAAAGTGCGGCCTGGGGGCTACATGCGGCCCAATTCACGTTTTTATGTGGCCCTCAGACTTTTTTCCGCGTCCACAAACTTCATTCAATTCAATTCAATTCATTCTTTATTAAGAACACAGATAGAACTGGTTCATAGATAAAAAATCTTTGAACCAGTTTCTTTGATTCATTGTGTCTCCCCCTATTTAAATGCATAGGAATCATATAATAATAATAATAATAATCACTATAATAATAATAGTAATACATTTTATTTCTTCGGCGCCTTTCTTGACGCCCAAGGTCGCCTTACGTTACAAGTAAAAAAGTACATACAGGCACGGTGGCTGAGTGGATAGCACTCTCGCTTCTCAGCAAGAAGATCCTGGGTTCGAATCCCAGTCGGAACAGGACCTTTCTGAGTGGAGTTTTCATGTTCCCCCTGTGTCTGCGTAGGTTTCCTCCAGGTGCTCTGGTTTCCCCTACCACTTAAAACATGTAAAATAGTTCTGGCATGCGCCTCCTGTACTGACCCTGCTCCCATCTCTGTGCGGAGTGAGAGACAAATGCCCAAAAAATAACATGTGTAAAACCGCTTTGTGAGTGCTATGATGACATATTATACCTAATTCATCCAAAACACGAATCCGTGCACAATACTCAGCCTTCTTGAGCTTTAGTCCTGCTTTTGGTTCAATTCAAGTGTCTAAATCTAAATGCAACTAAAAAACACAGTCCATTTTTGATCAAATATTTACTTCCTTTAAGTATGTCCCACATTCAGTCACTTTACACAAACACAAAGATCACTAAGATACCTTCAGGATTCCTTCTCTTCTGTAAATATACTTGTTTTATCAAATACATTCATCTTTGTTACATTATCGACACAAAAGTAGCTTACACTCAAACATGTTGTTCCAAATGAAATGAGATGGAAACCCCATGAGTCCTCCACAGTGCACGGATGTCCCAATGTGGCCCCCCGTTGTAAATGATTGCCCACCGCTGCCTCAGAAGAAGGATTAATATGCAGAGGACACATCTCCCTTCAGGGACTTTACAATATACCTTAATTAACCGTAATAATATTGGTTCTTTAAAGCTAACACCAGGGGCTTTTCCAGTGTAAAGCTCTCAGCTGCGTAATTTTATGCTTGCTTCTTTATTATGCTAATGATGGACTCTATACTTACTTCTAATTATGCTAAAGTCTGAGATTTTATACTTAATTTTTGCTTCTTTCAATATGCTAAAGTTCCAGATTCTGGATTTGCGATTTTGGTGATGCAACACTGACATTTCCCCGCTATGGGACGGATAGAGGATTTCAATTTCAATGTGTTCTTGTACAGCCCTAAATCACTACAGTAGTTATCTCGGAGGACTTGACAAAACATTTTAATTCGCCAACACAGATCAGAGAATCAACACGAGAAATGCAACGATGATAAGACATAGAGCCATTGGTCCATAAGTGGCAGAGACCAATGTCCATAAATAATGATAAATGTCCATAAATGTTGTTAAATGTTATGTTGAGTATCCTAGGTCATCAACACTGTCCTTATAGTTAGACCCTCAGACAGCTCTCTTTATCTTAAAAGGTACAGTCTAGTTTTTACTAATCTAATAATAATAATAATAATAATACATTGTACTTATATAGCACTTATTTGGACACTCAAAGACGCTTTACAGAAGAAGAAAAAAAACATAAAAAGATTGAGATCATATATTTTAATCTACGGTACTACGGTAGCTTTGCAGGACAATATGTCGATTTTGACAGTGGTCCCCAACTCCCGGTCAAACTCCTTTTTGTCCCTTATCGACCACTGTATTTCAAGATGGTGCATTTACACAGAGTCCTCCAGCTCTCATGGACATTTATAAGTCAAATTCTAAGTCTATGACAACAATTCAAAAACATGGTGGAGGTAGCAATTCTTAAAAAGGTATCATTTGTTTTTGGTTACTATGTTTTTATTTTCATTTGGAGTAACTGTAAAAATGACACAGAGTACCTTTAACTTCATGAAACCCGTCCCCGCAGGCCTCCTCCCCCCGCTGCCTCTGCAGAAGCCCGCTCTGAGCTGCAGCCCGCCCAGGACCCACCTCACCACCGCAGCCCTGAGAAGCAGCCCTGCTCCTGGGCTCCACCGGGCCTCGGCTCTGCCCCCACCGGAGCCCGCCGTCCTGTTCTGAAGACCGAGAGAGGACGAGAGATTGTCACTGGGGGGAAAGGGTAAAGGAAACCAAAGTGCAGGACTGAAAATAAAGTGTAGTTTAATAAGATGAATCCAAGGTAACAACAAAACACACACACATAAAACTGAAAACAAGCCAGGAACTACCTTTGTATAGACAATGGACGGACAACAAGTCGGAAATGCACAGAGAATAAATACACACACAGAGATACACATCAGGGCTAACAACACACACAGAAAGCAACTCAAACTACAAGAGTACAGATATATTGCAAATTAAAGTCCACATGATGACGGAGATGTTCTAATCGGCCTCGGAGACTTCGGACAAGTATCAGTGACTTTGGGGAAATGGGATTTTTTTTTTAAAGAAAATCGCAACTACTATGACAAGTCGTTTTAAAATAGACACATTGAAATAATCTCAATATTGCAAAAAAAACACTAGGACATCCAGAATTCTGAAACTACCAGAACTCCCAGAGCATTCAAATTAATGAGATTCTGAAAAAAATCACAAAAACAGAACAAATCACAAATACATGGTGTATATTTTTAATACATACTATATCTGGTTAATAATAAATACAACAGCTGCTTGGAAGGGCTGAAGTTCTGTAAAAACCATAACTGATTTACATTTTTCAACTTTTTGGACGAGAGATTGGAGAGGGCTCTTGAGGCAGCTCAAATGTTCATTGTGCTCACTACTGCCTCCTGATGGTCATCCCTGGTACTGCCTTTTCTGTCCAGAACGCAGGGAACTGGGAACGAAACGAAAAGGTCTCAAACATGGGAGGACAAAAGAACATTCTAGCTGCTTGTCCCGTTGGCCATTCCTTGTCCATTATTTTTCACATGCTTGGAGCCAATTAAATGTTGTTATGCCTGGAGTAGTCCACGGTAATGGTCTTTCTACTGGTAGGGGAGACGCAGACACGGGGAGAAGAAGCAAACTCCACACAGTAAGGCCCTGTCTGGCGGTGGAATCGAACCTAGAAGCCTTTTTCTGTGAAGCACAAGCGCTAACCACTGCCCCACCAAGCTTCAGGAAGAAATATTACTCATGATTTCGGGTTTTAGAATGTGGAAAAACATCTTGGAATATTAAAAGCAAAGCAACACTGGAGTTAGGACAAAAGTGTTTCCTTCGTATTTGGCAACATGTTGTGGTAAGATTTGCTTTTGAACCCACCTGATAATTAACGTTATACTTCACGCCAAGAAACTTCTCACTTATAAATGTATTTTAAGACTGTTTCAATGTTCCCAGATCGCTAAAAAACCACCAATGAACCAATGTTTTGCAGTTTGTTCATCTGTCCATAATACATTTACATTATCTCCTCCTTTAAAGCGGCTCAGCACTGACTTTTCTGTATTTTAAATTGTACATATTATATGAAGGGAACCAAGACAACAACATATGAAGATTTTTATTGTATACGGTCCTGTTTTCTTCAATATGTTTAACGTATTTGCTGTTTTGTTTATGTTTTACGCAAATGTTTGAAGAGACTGTAATGCAGGGGTGTCAAACCGGTCCTCAAAGGCTTCTCAGACTCCACCCATTTCCTCTAAAGAGCCCAGTCTTAACCTGAAGGCCTGAGGAAATGGGTGGAGTCTGGTGTGCTCCTGCTTGGTTGGAATGAAAACCTGCAGCCCACACCTCTACCCAGGGCTGGACTGGCCATCGGGCGTACCGGGCAATGCCAGAAGGGCCGATGCCCATATTTGGGCCGGTCTGTTTGCCTCATACAAAAAAACATGTTTGTGAAAAGTGTAAATCCGTTGAGAAGTGTTTGAGGGGAGCGCGCGTGTCCGCGGGGCACCTGCTGTATGTACTCGAACGGGATTCCACCACCTCAGCGGCCGCAGTGTTCCTGCATCCAGCGGCTCTGACCTGGACGCAGGAGCCGCTCACAACACAACACGGTGAGCGTGTAGCCGCAACGTGACCATGTACCCAAGACCATAAACGTGCACAGGACCATGCGTGTCTTTGCGTAATTTGTGCACCCAATAAATACACCGCTGCAGAAAACAGTCCGCGTCTCCCCTCTCCTCTAAATTAAAGCTCGGGTACCTACATTTTCCATTGCATTAAAAGTTCATGTTTGAGCCCAAAAGTAAAATGGTGTGAACAGATTAAACAGATTTAGAGCCAGCAAATGGCTGACAATATGCATTTCAGCATTTTTTACCAATTCTCATCCCTGTAACAAACAATATTGTCTGTGCCACCTCCCTCACTCTGAGACATGTTTATTACTCTGTTTAATGTAGACTATTGTACTTTGTTTTATTGTTGAAACTGTAGACATCCTGATCCTCTACAGTATTTGCTTCCACATACTGTATAAACCAGGGGTCGGCAACCTTTAGTGCCCCTAAAGTGGCTCCTGGAGCCTTTTCAAAAATGTCTGAAAATGGAGTGTGAGGGCTATATTTTATTTCTAGTTTCAATGTGGTTTCTGTTGGAGGAAAAACATTCTTAAAGTTTTTCAATGCTGTAAAAACTTGTATAAGTAATATTCAACTTTAACTGTGTGTGCGCATGGATCCCAAAGATAAAGAGAAAGAGTCGATAAGACTGGACTAAGAATGAGAATGAACATTTGCTTTTAGTCAATGAGGAAAGACTGCTTCATGTTTGCGATGTAATGAAAAGTTTTGTTGCAACACGAGGAACAATGAAGCTTTAAACACTGTTCACTGAAAGATTCATTCATCATAAAGTCAGAGCACCTATTTTCAGACTTCAAAAACCTTCTCAAAGACGGTGAAAGAAAAGGCCATTAAGGACATTCAGCTCCAGCAAACTTCAGCCTGTGATGGATATGAACAGACAGTGATGCAGGTGAACTCGGAGCCAAAAAACAGATTTATTTACTGTATTTGTACAATTGCATGAAGGTTAAACTTAAAGCAGAGTTGTCACGTGGTGCGTCATTCTCTCCAGGACACGCTGCAATGAAAATACACATTTGATAATCATGAATGGTTTTTATGTGTTTAGCCTTTACTTTGTCATTTAGATATTAGTCTAATATAGCTAATATAGATAATAGAGCTAATGTAGCTAATACAGCTTCAGCCCCTGTACCTTCATATAAGCCTTATACAACGCTGTTTTTTTTTTTTTTTTTTTTTGTCAAATATGGCTCCTTGAACCTTTTGAGTTGCCTGGGCTGCTAAAAAGGAAAAAATGCCCGGGCCGTTTTTTTGTCCCAGTCCAGCCCTGCCTCTACCCCTCTCTTCGGAGCCAGTTCGACACCCCTGCTCCATGAAATCAAATGAATTCGAAGTCTGTTTATCAAAATGCAAATAGTTTTTACGATTTTTGTCTACTGTATTTTTTATCTAATGTAACGATGATTTAGATGTAATGCAAATGAAATATTAGTTTGAATGTATTTTTGTACATGTGGAGGTTGTTATAATAAAGTTTTGGCCATGTGTAAAGTGGCTGGAGCTGGTCTGCTGGGGTGGTTCAGAGGTAGCCTGGTCTTATCACTCCATTGTACTAATTTCATTTCGGACTAAGGTCTGGATTTGCTCCATCTGGCTCCGTTAACAGGTGGGAGGGGTTTACTCCTTTTGCAGATTGAAACGATTGGATCCAATTTTGCCGTTAAGTATGTATTGCGACCAATTGAGTGAGGCATTTAGCATTTAGCCTAGCTTTAGCCATCTTCTTAGTCACTGACGGAGCCCGTGGGGAGTAGAGCCACAACATCTTTGCAGCAGTGACATTTAAACATTCCTCTTGCTCCGGCTTCAATGTCTTGATATTTGGCGCCAAACCAGAACGGATTACTTTACCATCGCATTCTCCGCCATTGCCAAACTATAACCAGAAAATTTGGCGCAAACTCTTGACGTCACCGACACCTATACCTACAACACCCGCCTCCCCCGCTCGCTGATTGGTCGGATGGAAGGAAACCCATATGGAAAAGTTGCACATAAAATATATAAAAACTTCACCACACATTTTATATGAGGTTTGTTTGATTATTTCTTGAAAGTGACGTCTTTTGCACATATTTAATATATGGCGAATCGTACCGGGATAAACGTGTGTTATTCATGAACAAAATGAAGTTAGGTACCTCAACTTTTACCCTGTAGAACCCAGACATTAAAACAAATGCCAAAAACAATGTCTGTACGATTTTTCCCTGGGGATGAGAATATAGCTTTTAATGACAACATTTTGCAGTGTAGCTAATTTGCTTCTTTAGGTTCTTACATAAATTAGATGAATTCAACCAAAAAGTCATACTTCTTTTGCCATAACCTTTGACTTCATGTTGCATATTTGTAGCCGAGAGAGCTATGAGATTGAATCATCCGAACAAAGCCGTCAAAATCTTTTCCAAAGCTAAATAAAAATCAAGGGGTGACTTTCTTCCTTTGTATCTTTTCCTAAACGTTTTTGTCCCGTGTGCTTTCTGGCCTTTGAAAAGCTCACCTTGTTCTTAAGTGCTTTTCTCCAGAGTGCAGTCATTGAAACTATTTGTGCAATCTTCTGCGGCCCCTCGGCTGCAGTTACCTGACATTTACCTCACCATCCACTCATCCTGGTTTTTGTCTTTCTCCGAAGACAAAAAAAAAACAGATTTCACGACATTATTATGAAGCAAGAATAAATATATATTGGAGGCTCTGCTTTTTGGCCAGTGGACTTGTAACATAATGAAGTTAGTATTTAAAATAGTTCTTTCCCTAAGTTTATTCACCACCGGTCAGAATGTACACTGCAAAAAGTGAAAATATAAACTGGTATAGCTCACTTGATTTCTATTTATATAATCACAAATGTTTTACTCATGTAGGCTGAAGATACATAAGAAAATAGATCCATAGGCAGATTATTTAGCTTAAAACTAGAACATTTCTTTAAATAGCTGCTTTATCTTGTTTTTTTTGAGCCACTTTTTTTTCAGTGTAGCTTAGCTGGTCCAAGCCTGTCTAGTAAACAGGACTTTT